AGAGAGAAGAAGGGAGACAAGCACTGGAACCAAAGAAGAGAGAAGAAGGGAGACAAGCACCGGAACCCCAGCCGGAACCAGGAGGAGCCAGCAAATCATGATGGAACGGAACCCCTTTCCTGAGGAAAGAAAGAAGAGAGAAAAAGGGAGACAAGCACCGGAACCAAAGAAGAGAGAAGAAGGGAGACAAGCACCGGAACCCTAGCCGGAACCAAGAGGAACCAGCAAATCATGATGGAACAGAACCCCTTTCCTGAGGAAAGAAAGAAGAGAGAAGAAGGGAGACAAGCACCGGAACCCCAGCCGGAACCAGGAGGAACCAGCAAATCATGATGGAACAGAACCCCTTTCCTGAGGAAAGAAAGAAGAGAGAAGAAGGGAGACAAGCACCGGAACCGAAGAAGAGAGAATAAGGGAGACAAGGACCGGAACCCCAGCCGGAACCAGGAGGAGCCAGCAAATCATGATGGAACAGAACCCCTTTCCTGAGGAAAGAAAGAAGAGAGAAGAAGGGAGACAAGCACCGGAACCCCAGCCGGAACCAGGAGGAACCAGCAAATCATGATGGAACAGAACCCCTTTCCTGAGGAAAGAAAGAAGAGAGAAGAAGGGAGACAAGCACCGGAACCGAAGAAGAGAGAATAAGGGAGACAAGCACCGGAACCCCAGCCGGAACCAGGAGGAGCCAGCAAATCATGATGGAACAAAGGCCGTTTCTAGCAAGAATTGAGAACCCCATTCAGCTCAAGAGCTGTTTGGGGAAAAATGTAGGATACAACCATTGGAAATGGATTGATTCAAGCGAGGATGCTGCCAGAAAAAAAATGTTGTTTTGAACATTCTCCAAAGACAGATGGAGAGTTCCCTATAATTTCGCCCTGGCTTCCCAATTATCCCAATTCTGGGAACTAATTCTAGCACAAAAAAAGGAATTGTTACAAGGGGCCAGGAAAGTTGCAAGATGTTGCAACGTACCATCTGGTAAACTAACATAACTATGGAAAATCACCATTTTTAATAGGAAAATCCACTATAAATGGTCATTTTCAATAGCTATGTTAGTCATTACCAGAGGGTACAATTCATGGGGACACCAAACATGAAATCCCATCCACCTGCAGATCACCCGGCGCCTCCTGTTCGTTCTTGGCTCTGAACTGCTGGGACCTGGCAGTTTTTAAAACCCTGGCTTCCATTCACCCAATGTCAAATTGTTTCAGGAATTAGAGGATAACCAGGGATAACCATAGTTACTGATATTATTATGGATAAATGATTGATTATTATATAAACCCATGATTATGGATTAATAATGATAACCATACTTACAAGCAAATTATGAATGGGAGAATCCACTGAATAGGGACTTACAATCACCAAGGTTGTTCACCCCGGCAACAAGCCATGCACGCCATGCTGCACCTCTGTGCCGCCCACACCAGGCTCACAAGCAGCACCAAAGCAGCAGTCACCATCCCTGGGCTGCCCAAAACCTTAGAACTGGCTGGTTGGTGACACTCGGTGTTCAGCGGAAAATCAGCTATAAAATGCTATAGATGACTATAGAGGGCTGGATATATATATATATATATATATTATGTATATATTTTGTATATTATATATATATATATCAATGGAGACTTGGTGCCATGAATTCCCCCGAGGCTACTCCACCAGTTCGCCAGGCAGCATAGGTCGTCAGCAAATTCAGGACGATGAAAAAGACGCTAATGCCCTGCGAAATGGTCGAGTTTCGCTGAGAAGCTTGGAATCGCCAGGCAGGAAACCATAGAAAACCATGGTTTTTCTATGGATGGATTTTGGTGGAAAGCGGAGCAATTCCATTGAAGTCCACTTCCATTTTTGTTTACTGGAGGAGCGACTCGCCCCCTGCCGCACCGCAAGGCTGTAGACCAGGAGACGCAAGCTTTGCTGCGTAGCATTGATGGTCTGGCAGTCGGATCCAGGTCTCAAGTGGACTCAGAAGCGTTTCATCTGATTGGTTTCTGCTGTAGGCAATAAACGAGGGGTTTTTAGAATGGGGGATCCCCAAGTCACCATGGTTGTTTCAATACTAAGTCATGGTCTAATGACTGGATAATTTGGGAGTACCCGGAGTACCCCCATGATTTAGGAAACCTTCAAATCTGTTTAAGAAGCACATTCGTGTATATAAGTACACCATGCTTTTGTGACAGTCATCTGGTGCGAGAGTATCACACCCAGAGTAAAGTTGCGCCTCAAATAAGGCCAAGAAACAATGAGCTGATCAGACGTTTACCAAAATGACAGTGGTAAGCAGTTTGAAAGCCTGTTAATATGTGTTTGTCTGAAAATAGGTTATTTGTCTGAAAATAGGTTGCCCAAAAAACAATTGGGGAATCATTTTCCCATACCCCATCCTCAGACACCCCTCGGGTGTGGGTGAACGACCAGCGCTGGACCAGCCTTCGTCATTGACCTTGGCTTCGTCTGCCGTCAACCCGAGCGGCTCGTGCTAAGAGATGAAAGCCACAACCCCATTCTGGTGAATGGGTGAATTCCAAGTTTGGGACCTAACACGAAAGTAAGCAAAAACCATGGCAAAACCCGGAGATTCTTACTCAAATACGCGTTCCACTACACTAAACCATACAATCTTGCGGAGAACATATGGCTTGACCCACTTTGTTTCCCACATTCTGAGACCCGTACCCAAAAACACCTTGTAGGTGCGCAGCCGGCGCTAGCGCGATAAATGAATCGTGGAAGCGTCAAAAAACTGGCCCCTAGCGGCAGTATGTGCCTTGAGAAGGTGAGTTGTCCCCATCTTGTGCTTTTTGTTTGCCTTGGTTGTTTGGCAAAACTGTCAATGTCCAGGGCTTTTTGTTTCCTAAGAGTCAAGATCTGCCCCCTTTTTGGGAAAGAACCTGGCCTTGGCTGGTGAAATATGACACAGAAAACCTTCCGTGGTTGCGCTGATGACGAACTTGCTGGGCTGCAACCAACTCAAGAGGACCCAGGAACAGCTACGAATCCAGCTGCGAGCCCATCCGAGCACGAGGTGACATCGATGGTGGCTGCTGGAGAAAACAAAATGGCAACCAGGTTGAAGTCGGAATCATACGCGAGTACTACCCATACCATGAGTCGCAAAACCTCAGCATCACTATCTCCATCCTCAAATATGTCTTGATATGTGCGAAGGACAACAAATGGTACATGGCTTATGGGCATCCCACCATTCTTGGAACAGCTTAAAACAGCCACTATAATTCTCGGGTTTGATTGTGGGTCATATCGTCATACACCACAATATGGGACAACAATCCAACTTCTCACTACAGTTGGTTGTATGTCCATATAGATTTATGTATGTATATATACATGTATATGTGATATTATAATATATTATATTATATTATATTATATTATATTATGTTATATTATATTATATTATACTATATCATATCATATCATATCATATCATATTGTGTTTTGTTATATTATATTATATTATGTTATATTATATTATATTATATTATACTATATCATATCATATCATATCATATTGTGTTTTGTTATATTGTATTATATTATAATATCATATTATAATATTATATTATAATATTATATTATAATATTATATTATATTATATTATATTACATTATATTACATTACATTATATCATATTATATTATATTATATTATATTATATATATATGGATATTTATATATATATACATATACCAGTGAATATCCCATTAAAAATCACCAACTTTTGACCATAGCACATCTGGCCTCGGGTCTGAACATGTGCAGGAAAAGCCTCATGTCTCATGGCCCATCTTCCCCGTGCGCCTGGACCGCGAGGTCTCCTGATGGTGTCAACCATCCCAAATGAGTTTGTGATTTGTTCATAAAAACTATCTTACAAATGTGTGTAGATATATATATATATATAATGTGTATATGTGTATACATATATATATATTATATATTATGCATATGTATATATTAGTCGCTTTGAATTGAATCATCCCAAACATGGCCATCTTTCGTTTGAACCACAAACGTCTCGGAATCTCTCGGGTCTTCTGACACCGCAGCAGTTGACACCGCGCTCTTTTCTTCGCCTTCACGGGCGTTCCGTTCGAACGGGGCCATGCCACGAATTCCTCACCGTTTCTGCGCAGCTCTCAGGATATCAATTCAGGAGGGTTTGTGCTGAAACAAAAAACTATGCAAAAAAAACATTAGAAGTGTCTTTGATACAGAAATTAGAGGGTGATTTTTTTTGAAAAACACTAAGTGATCCATGAAAACTCCGCATCATAGCCTACTACTCAGCCAAACTATCCCTGCCAGGCACACTGATGGGATCCCTGGATTGCCCTACAACCAGCTGTGCAAATGTGTGCTGCAACTGGGCCACCTTGGCAGGACAGCTTGGCAAAAAGCCACCAATTTGAAAGCACTGAGGCAACATGGTCCCCTGATTAGACTGGAATAGAAGTACGGAGTCTTGCATTTTATATACTGAAAATTGCTGTATTCGCAATTGAGAATTGGAGGTCCTTCAATTTGACGTTCCGGTACCGTGCCAATCTGGTTGAGGGTAGTGTTGCAGCCCGGTAACAGGGCAGAACTCAGTTGTTGCGCAAGAGCTATATCATCAAGGACTTCCAGGCCTAGACTCAGAAAACCAATTGACATGGCATCGAGTGCCTGCATTCTTTGAGGCTTCTGAAAGAGGTCCAAAAGGAAAGCATAGCTCGGGATCAGCTTTGAGCACATCAAAGCATTCAGCAGACATGCTTTCAAATCGGGGGTGAGACCGAGAACCGCACTATGACTGCTTTGCAGCACAGCAAAAATGAAAAGGCGCTACTACTGTGAAGGGTTATTGCAAGTCAACTTAGACCAAATTTCCCTACCATCATGGGATCTGTCAAACAATACGCTTTTGGGCTGACCCCCAAGGCAAGTTGTCATCGCTATCTCATGCTTCAAAACCCTCATGTTCCATCATTTCCTCACTAAATTGAGATCTCACTAACCTGCTTGGCAGGCAGCATCCGGCAGAGGCTCCTCACCTTGCTGGAACTCTGTCAGGGCACACTTCTGAACACAACAAACTTGCGGCACAGTTCGTAAGAATGTTGGAAATGGCGTTGTCTGAAAATAGAACACCCACAAAAATCCCATGTGTTTGTCATTCATGTTCCCTTTGAAATGGATAATCAATGGAAGTATAGCCGGTATAGCCTATCTTCAGCACCCAAATGTCACACGTCCATCGCGACTCATCGCCATGGCACGTGGCCACACGGGGCACCGAAGCACCTTGCTGGCGAAGGCGCTTGGCTGCAGCTGCGGGGCGATGTAAATTCCTCAGCTGGGCAGCTGGGTTTTGGCTAACGAGTCATGATTGTCCAAAAATGACGTCACCAATTTGATATATTTTGATATAACCATTAGTTTAATATTGGTTGAGTTCCACCGATCTTTTGGGGTCCCACATTTGGTGTCTTGGAATCCCATTCCCAAACAGGCTGGTTGAAAAGTTCGATGAAACAATTAGGGAAAAGTCGGCAAACATCTATAGCAAACCAAAGTTGACAGGAATAGTGTGATACCTATGAATATGTCATGGGAAAGATTATACATTTTGATGGGAAATATGGGAGCATTTCAGGGGAATATTGTGATTTTGATGAGGAATAGGTGTATTTGTTCAATCAAATGGGAGTTTGTGCTATCAAATTGTTCATGGGATGAGACTTGCCTTTAATCTGACGGGTTGGGGAAGATGTGATCTGAATTTGATGCTATTCAAACTATATATATATATCTTTATATATATATATATACCTGAGAAGGGAGGGGACGAAAGCCAGCCCCCACGGCTTGCAGCGGCACGAAGAGGAATCAGAATTAACATTTGGCACAGTCAGTGTCTGTGACTAGTCTTGTTTACGCCACCATCTGACCACTCATCTCTGTTGACAAAAAAAAGACTAGATTAGCTTCTCCATAGCTTCGCCTTATACACACCACAACAAAAGTCACAAAAAAAAAAAAACTAGAGTACTTTCACCATAACTTCGCATCATACAGACCTGCCAACCTAAGCCTTCGGTTTTCTTCTGTACATGTGAATGTACACATGTATATGTATATGTATGTACGAGTGTATACTATGAGGAGGATATACCATGGCACTCAAGAAAGCCAATACACCACAACGAAAGTCACAAAAAAAAAACGCTGCCCCCCTTTCAACATGAGTCCTCGTGTTGTTTTCTTGTGTCGTGGTTGTTGTTCAACAACAGTCACAAATAAACCAAGAGTAACTTTGCCATAGTTGCGCCTTATACTGACCACTGTTGTTGTTATCGTTGTTGTTGTTTTTATTAGTTTTCTTTTCTTCTTCTTGTTCTTGTTCTTGTTCTCCTTCTTCTTTTTTCTTATTCATCTTCTTCTTCTTATTCTTCTTCTTCTTCTTCTTCTTCGTTCTTCGTTCTTCTTGTGGTGACCACTGTTGTTGTTGTTGTTGTTGTTGTTGTTGTTGTTGGTCTTGTTCTTGTTCTTGTTCTTGTTCGTGTTGTTGTTGTTGTTGGAAAAAAAAAACTAGATTAGCTTTGCCATAGCTTCGCCTTTTACACACCACAACAAAAGTCACACACAAAAAAAAAATAACTTCGCCATAGCTTCGCCTTATACTGACCACTGTTGTTGTTATTGTTGTTTTTGTTGTCATTGTTGTTGTTGTGGTACTTGTTGTTCTTCTTCTTCTTCTTCTTCTTCTTGTGACCACTTTTGTTGTTGTTGTTGCTGTTGTTGTTGTTGCTGCTGCTGTTATTGTTGTTGCTGCTGTTGTTGTTGCTGGTGTTGGTGTTGTTGTTGTTGCTGCTGCTGCTGTTGCTGTTGTTGCTGTTGTTTCAGTTGATGTTGTTGTTGCTGTTGTTGCTGTTGTTGCTGTTGTTGCAGTTGTTGCAGTTGTTGCTGTTGTTGCTGTTGTTGCTGTTGTTGCTGTTGTTGCTGTTGTTGCTGTTGTTGCTGTTGTTGAGGTTTGCTGTGGTTGGGTTGTTGTGTTGGTGTGTTGTTGTTGTGTTGGTGTGGGTTGTGTGTGTTTGTTGGTTTGTTGTTTGTGGTGTCTGTTGTTGTTGGTTGGTGGTTGTTGGTTGTTGGTTGTTGGTGGTTGGTTGTTGGTTGTTGGTTGTTGGTTGTTGGTTGTTGGTTGCTGGTTGCTGGTTGCTGGTTGCTGGTTGTGGTTGTTGGTTGTTGGTTGTTGGTTGTTGGTTGTTGGTTGTTGGTTGTTGGTTGTTGGTTGTTGGGTGTTGTGTTGTTGTGTTGTGGTGGTTGTTGTTGTTGTTGTTGTTGGTTGTTGTGTTGTTGGTTGTTTGTTGTTTGTTGTTTGTTGTTTGTTGTTTGTTGTTTGTTGTTTGTTGTTTGTTGTTTGTTGTTTGCTGTTTGCTGTTTGTTGTTTGTTGTTTGTCGTTCGTTGTTTGTTGTTTGTTGTTGTCCCCGCAGCTTTTTGCTCAGTCTCGTGGTGGCGAAAATCGTCAAATAGGTTGTGATTTCACACTTTTTGGACACTCTCCGAGCACAAAACACTGTGAATACCAGTGTTTGTGGCGCCTCGGAAGCACAAAACCACGGTATTTACGATGTTTTGGCCAGCGCCTTGCAAAAACACTAGTATTTACGCAGTTTTCAGCACCTTGCAAGATATACTTTTTCCATGCCTGAGACACAAAACCTCTGTAAATTACAGTATTTTTGCTCTTGGCACGCACCAAAAAAAACGGAAAAATCCACTTTGACCCACCGTTTTGTGGAAAAAAAGGCAACCCTCGAAAACAAGGCATCCGCACCAACCCCACGAACCCATTCCCCCCACAGCCGGCCTCAGCCTTAAAAAAACTCGTGGTTTTCGCCCGCCCCCCCCCCACACCCCTAGATTGCCTTCGCCACAGCTTCGCCTTAGACAGACCCTCCAGCCTAAGCCTTCGGGTGGCTTTTCGTAACATCTCATTTAGGGGAAAAAAGGGAATTAAAGGATTGGGAAAAGAGGTAAGTTCGATTGATAATAAACCCCAAGTTTGGTTATAAGACAATTCAGTTTGATGGTAAGAAGGAGAAGACTCTATTCACTCGCAGCTTTTAGTTGCACAACATCCAGCAATTAAGGAAAACTAAGTGCTTTCACAGGAATTCTACAGTTTGTTCAGCCTCCATGCGGCCAAAGTTCCCCACAGACACAGGGTTCAGGACCAGTCCAGACACACTGCCCTCAACATGGCCTGCAGCATCCATGGAAAACTCCATGGAAAACATCATTGGAATCATTGGGTTTGTCTCGGGAGCACACAAAATCCAATAGATTATATTGATTTATATTTATTTATATTGATTTATATTGATTTATATTGATTTATATTGATTTATATTGATTTATATTGATTTATATTATATGATCATATTTTTTCGCATTCAATGACCATGTATTAGGGGTATACCCCGCTTTCAGAGGCATCCTTTGACTCAGCATCAAACTTGCCAGTTTGGGGTCTTCACCATGTGTGGGAGGACAAACTCATGTGTCTTCACTTTGGTAAATACAACAGCTGGTTAGCTTTCAGGAACAACTGCTATTGGTTGGTAGTCAGGAACTTCTGGTTGGTAGAGAGAGCTGCTTGAGGCTTTTTCCATCCTGCTGGAATTGCCAAATGACTGGTCTCAAAAAGAAAAACCTGCTGTGCTGGGGCAAAGTTGATGCGTTCTTGCACCTAGAAACGCATCCCGCATGCATACAGATACATACACAGACATGTGCATAGTTGTAAATACGTATATATATATATATACTGTATATATACATAAACATCTATATGTATATATATATATACATATTATACATATTATATATATATACGGATATACGTATATAACATATAAGTATTCAATACGTATACATAATATATGCAATCATGTGTTCAAACGATCCGCTGCGCAACAAATCGCCCCATGCATTCCACCTGGCACCATTTTGAGGGGCCCGGCCTATCTCCGGCAAAACAACCTCCGTCGGAGGTTCTGGCAGGGCTTCTTGGTGTAGGACATCATGATCATCCAGACCTGATCCGCTTCGAAAAATGGGGGATCTACTTGGACATTTATGCGGATGTCATGGGATGTATATACACATACACGTAGACGTACACGTACACGTACAATTACATTGCGTTACATTACATTTGCATCACATGACAGCATATTACATTACATTACATTACATTACATTAAATTTCATTACATGTCATTACATTACAGTACATTGAATACATTACATATATGTTACATACATTACATATGCATATATATATATGTATGTATATATATATACGTACTGATTTAAATCATGTATCTAATCTAATATATACAATGTACAACCATGATGTGTGGGTCTGAAAAGGGGACCATGAAATGTTGGAGGACACAACATGTGACTTCCATTCGTCACCGTCATCAGAATCTCAGGAAATCTTGGGATCAGTTCTGGTGATCTTTCGATGGGATATCCATCCGCCCTGTACACGAATCTGTCCTTGTGATGAGAGCGGGCGTTCGGTGACGGTCACGCCAGTGAGGCCCGTCATCAAAGTCATATCAGATATGGATGTGAGTTTCCTCAAGCAAGGCTTGCTGAAAATTGCTGAAAATCTGGGACAAAACTGCTTGATCTGGAAATCTGGGAAAACAACCCGAGACTTTTTCACCTCAGCCCATGTCGTCGTCTTGAAAGCCAAAGAATACAATACTTCAATACTGCAGCTCCCTTCCAAGGTCTTGAAGTTCGGATGGCCGCAATGAAAATGGAACCTTGCATCCAAAGAGTATGTCAAGCGATTCTGTTTGGAATCAACCGCTTTTCCCACGGAAATGTCTGCAGCCAGAGTTTCGAGGTGCTTCGATTGGCGCCTCTGGCACTGCGAGCTGTATTCCTCAAGTGCTGACCCAAAATAACGCCTTGAAGGAAGACCGTCAGAATGAAACCCAGCTTTGCAAGGGAGGTTGCAGTTTCAAAGACCATGCAGGTTCAGTTTCCTCTGTGTGGTCTTTCACGAGACATCGTCATGTTGAAACCCCGTCATTCTTCCAAGGTGCGAGAGACTTGGGAGACCACTGACCACAGACTGGCGCATGGCGGCGCATGACTTGGGGGTTACCAAACTTTTGAGCAAGTGTGGGATTTTCCCCTCAGAAATGGATGGTGTTTGACAAGAATGACTAAGAAATTTCGCAAAATCTCTGGATGTCTGAAGTTTTGACCCTCGCTGGATGGTTTACCCTCTGGTAAACTAACATAACTATGGAAAATCACCATTTTTTGATGGGCCCAAATTGCTCAAATGCCTCCTGCTTGTCATTCCCCCACCTGGTGTTGGGATCCGACCTCGTCCATACTCTTGCTGCGATCTGGCAGAAAAGGGGCGCCATCGCAAATGCGTCTCGATTCATCCAGGAATCTTCCACCAACAGAGTAATGCATTTTATGTCTATATCTACAGGTATCATATATATATATATAATTATATAATGATACAATGATATAATGATACAATGATGTAATGATATAATGAGGATTCACTGTACCCATCATAACTGGGGGAAAATGATGATGTGTCATGGGGAGATCATCCGGATGTAACAGGAAGTTGGTGAAACCATAAATTGCCTCCCGCAGCTTTTATTGTCAGCAAAATTGACAAATCCAACAGGCACCTGAGGAGTGGGAGTGATGTGCCCCAGACGTCAAGGCCAACACATGGCTCTCCGTGTACGGCATATCCAACTCCTGCGAGCCACGCTGAATTTGGGCGATGCAAAAATCTGGCCATTGGCCACTGGCCGAAATGGACACCTGGGGAGCTCAGCAAAAAATGGAGTCCAAGGGATGTCCAAATGGATTGGTTTCGGAAAATCGAAAAACCTGAAACCATGGATTTTCCCATGATAATATGGGGGGTTTGGTCGGTAAATCGTCCCTTAAAGCAATCCATCGAGTCCAACATCGCCTCTGGGTCGCAAAGGACGCCATGACCACTGAAGGTGGTGCCGTGGAGCACCATGGTCCCATTCCTGGCCGGCCCTGCTCCATGCATAGTATGACTATAGGATTACTACAGTATTGCTATAGTAATACTTTTGGGTCTTGTTATAGTATTGTTATAGTATAGTGTTTTACCATTGTAGTATTACAATAGTTTTTTTGGCATTCCCAGAAAAAATATATACTACAATCTATAGTATTACAATAGTGTTTGTTGGCATTCCCAGAAAGCATTAAATTATATACTACAATCTATAGTATTACAATAGAATCTATAGTAATACTTTTAGTATAGTGTTTTACTATAGGATTACCAAAAAGTATTCAGCTCTGCCAAGGTTCAGCTGTGGCACTTGATCTTGGATGGAGGCCTCGCCAGGTCGTGGCTATAGCCCTTTTTCAGACACACCCATATATATATAGATATAGATATAGATATAGATATGTGTATATATATATATATGTGCATATATATTTACTTAGTTATGTATTCATTTATGTATTTGTTTATTTAGTTATGTATTCATTTATTTGTGTGTCTACGCTTGGCAGCTCAATCCATACTTGTTTTAATTACTTCGCATGTTTGTCGTGATGTGGCAAAGCCTATAATAAACCATTCCTAGTTTTACAGTAAATTCCTGGTGTTCCAACCATTCCAAGAATTGGAGGTTTATCAATCACTGGTTTTACCACGTTCATCTTGGTTCATGCTGTTTTTCGCAGATTCAACATCATGAGGCCCGGAAAAAAAAAAAAAAAAATGTAGCTGCTACCATAAGGCCAAAAAAAAAGAGTTGGATTGGTACTTCAAATTAGATCCAATCAGAGCTTTATTCTTGGGTTAAGACTTAAAAGATAAAATACATGGTGAACCAGATCCCATAATTGTCCAAATGCCCCAACTATATTGTTGGTCATACATATCCATCATCAATACAACCATCAACAACATGTCCCATGAATATCCCAACAATCAACACATATATGCCCATCAATATCCCCTTTTCATATCATTTAATCATTCATATCCCCTACAATGCAATACCAATATCTGACAAATATGTTGCATTTAATTGCAAATTTATCGATCCTCTCAAGAATGTAACATTGTAACATATCATCCCCATTGAATTCCCCATTCTTATCCATCTGTTGGTGAAATATATCCCATTGATCCATCTATATCTCATCATTCATATCCCCAAAAGAATATATCCCTATCAATCTATATATATATTCGGAACATTCTTCGCTACACCCCTATGTTTCATGTTTTTTTGCACACCACATCAGAATCCATGCTTATAATGTTCTATAAACCATTCTATATGATGATTCATGGCTTTTTTTCATCATCCATAGTCATGGATCCATAATATTCTCATGGATAACATAGTTGTGGTTATATATGATCATTATACAGATATATCTAATCATAACATTATATATATAACATGGATATATATATATACATACATAATCCATAGTTTATATAGCTTATATATGTTGATGTTTCACCATGATCCATGAGTCATCCCATCCGCGTGGCGCCTCCTTCACGACCTCGTCCACCCAGGCGGCGTTGGCCGCCTCGGGCACGGCGTTCTCCGGGCGCTGCCGCAAGGCCAAGGGGAGCACCTCGTGGATGGGTGGTACAGTGGTACCTGTGACCTGATGTGGATATGATCCTGGGTATGGGTCAAAATTAGGTACCCCAATAATTGGATGGTTAATACATGTTAATACATGTTAATACTAAACTAGACATTCACATCTGTGGTCCCACATCGGTCTTCCATTTTGACCCACATCCATATGGATAGGGGCATCGATTTTGTATCACTGCTAGCAAATTCGTGGAGGGGTTGCTTGCAGTAGTTGATGCTCCGTCTATGGATAAATCATGATAAATCAGTATTTAATGAGTGCATCGGGAATGAATTGATGGTCAAAATTAGATGTTTGTGCAAATTATTCATTTAATGATCACTGAGGAACATGTAGGAACCATATGGAACCATGCCATCTCTGGGGTAATCACTTTTGAGCTACTTCAGACTCAGACAAGCATTTTAGATGTCTTCGGTTTGGTTGCTGATGCATCTCCCTCAATAAGCTTAAGCACATGGGAGTTCTCTTGTTGATTAGTGATTGGGGGTTTCCTATCAACCTTCATTGCCCATTGTTTGTAGGGGGTAGCATCTACAAACTCTATCCTTGTTATTCGGAAGGGGATTGCTGCGGATCTCTTTCTGCCACAATAGCAATAGCACCTCTTGGTCTTCTTTCTCCTTTCGCAGACCCAATGCTCCTCAGTGAGCCAAGCACCACTCACGGGAACCGATGAATATGGGGCTTAACCAGCGAACATGGGTTGGTCCTCGATGGTTGCTCGGTGGAGAAACTACGCCATTCATAAGAAGGCTACCTCCGAATGAAAAATTCTCATCAAGCAACCAGTACCTGGAGGATCTCCATTCCAAGAAGAAACAGATCTATTTGGATCGCCTTCAGGTCTCGAAAAGCACAAAAGTACACCATTTCACACCCAGAAATTCTTGGTGTTCTCCCTCTCACATCCGTCTTTGTTCCGAAGAAAATGAGCCACCAAGCACTTCATCTGATGACATGGGTGAGTCACTAGGCATGACTTCCCCTGGACCATTTCAAAGCCACACGTGGTCCATATGGTCTCCTAAAATGGAGACCCATTTTAATCATCCAAGTAATTGCGTCATTGCAGGGAGACAAATTGTCATCTGTTCTTCAGGGTTGAAATTTTCAGAAACACTGGTTGCATTACCCCTTTGTTAGTAGTTACTCTCCGGTAATCAGCATGGCTTTACGGGAAAATCCCCTATTTAGTTCAACGATAAAAAATCCCAGCTAGCCTCCATTTGACTCGGCAATTTCCCAGCCATGTATCTCCCATCATATTCCCATCATGTTCCCATCATGTTCCCACGAATTGTTGATTATGCCACTATTTTTGATGGTTAAATCCCTATGTTTTGATGTGTAAGGCCCCGGTTTTCCACCGGAAATGGGGTTCCACATCAAGGCACGTGGTTCCACACGTCCGTAGGTCTTGGATTCGATGCCAAGGCCATTGACCATCAAATCCTTCTGAGGTTCCTGGGCTACGTGAAAGGTGGGGTAGATAGCTGGATCCTCTATGTGTATCAAATGTATCTATTTATCCATGTATCCAGGTGTCTGTATCTATGTATCTATGTATCTGTGTATCTATGTATCTATGTATGTATGCATCCATGTTATGTATTGTCCAACCCTCACATTATTTATGTAATTTATGTATATATATATATATATATATGTTATGTATAGTTATCATGATCAAAGTCGGGGATACTGTCTATTCAATGATTCGATTTAGGAGTTTCAGCTAAGGCACAATGAAGGTGTCATGGGCGACAACAACAGCCTTCCAGCGACGCTGTCGCGATGTGTTTGGATTCTTTGTATTTTGGAGGTTCAAAAGTATGACTAGTGTGACTCTCCAACTACCCCCAACACGTAGTCAAAGACTTGAATTTTCACCAATTTGGATTTTGTGCAAAAAGAAAATCTGGTTCTCATAAATGGATCTTGATAGGATATTTACAGTTGCTAGCCTCGATTTTCCCGGAGAAATACCAGCCATTGCCCTGCCTTGGAGCTGTGGAATAGTGGCTCGATGGCCTCCCTAAAACAACCCAACTTGGACAGCAGCACCGCTATGCAAATCAAGGCGAATGGCACCGACAGTAGTCCACCTTTCAGCACGGTTGAAGTCTCGTTCCGGAGGTTCTCTTGCGATTGACACATGGGACATGTAGAAACCTGTGGTTTTGGCAAAACAAAAGGGTCCGGAATTGTTTTGGGAATTGTGTTTTTTTCCGTTTCGGTATAATTTTTTTTGGAACCGTTTTTTTCTGCACGTTTTCCTTGCTAGTTGCAGCATTTTGGAGCTGGAAGCTGCCATTTCAAATGTCTTTGCAGCATTTTGAAGTTGAACCATCTCATTTTCCATAGATTTTGCAACATATTTGTAACATTTTGGAGCTGGGAGCTGCTGTTTCAACGGTATTTGCAGCATTTTTGAGTTCGAACTGTTCATGTAACATGGTAGTTTGCAACTAGGGTTCATTTAGGGTTGGTTTTAGGGTTAGTTTAGGGGTTTTGTTTGTCTAATTTTTTTTTGAGGGTTGGTTTTAGAGTTAGGCTTTATTTAGCTTCTTGGGTTAGTTTAGGATCTTTTTAGGGTTTGTTTTAGGTTTTATTTAGGCGTGGTTTAAAACCTATTTATGGTTGGTTTAGGACCTATTTGGGGTTGGATTAAGGTTTGTTGAGGGTTGGTTTAGGATCTATTTAGGCCTGGTTTAAATATATTTCGGGATCTTTTACGGTTTATTTAGGCTTGGGTGAGCATCTATTTGGGGCGGGTTTGGTTTAGGATCTATCTAGAGTTGGTGTAGGACCTATTCAGGATTGGTTTAAGGTGTGTTTAGCGTTGGTTTAAGACTTAAGATTTATTTAGGTCTGGTTTAAGATCTATTTAGGGCTGGTGTAAGGTTTATTTTGGATGAGCTTCAAATTCATTTAGGAAGTGTTTGGGGTTTACTTAGAGTTGCTTTAGTGTTTCTTTGGTTGGTTTGGGGTTTACTTATGGTTTATTTAGGGTTTCTTTACATGATGTTTCTTAAGGATTATCTGCAGTATGAGAAACAAAAAAAGGGGAAAAGCAGAGAATCGGAAAGGCAGGTAAGCAGAGAAGCTGGAAAAGCAGAAAAGCAAAAAGCAGAAAAGCAAAGAAGCAGGGAAACAGAAATCCCAAAAAAAAAAACGGAAAAAAATAATTCCCAAAAAAAATAACCCTCCAAACAAAATGGTTCCTGTCACTGTTTGCCTTGTAGTGGTCAGTGGTTTGTTTATCCCACGTTCCAAGTTTGTTGTTTAAGGGAAAATCGACAGAAAACCTATCCATTTCTGGGAGCCGTCACCGGTGCAACCTCTGAAACGCCTTGGTCAAGCCATCGGGTAAATTCTGTGTTTTTGTCATGTTTTCTTGAGCAAATGGGTGTGTCCAAGAAAGCGGCACACATAAACTCCTATGGCTTAAAATTTCATGTCCTTTCTTCAAAATGCCTATATGGACAATTGCAGTAATGCATATAATATATATATATACATATATATATACATATATATATATATTTATATTTATATACGTGTAGTATATAATTATATGAATATTAATATGACCATCATATCCCCATTCAATCCTAAGCTATAATCATCACCCCAACCACCTCTCCCAAACGCCCTTCGCCTATGAGGCCCCAGGGCGGTGGCTCAGGAGGTCGTTCCACGGAGCCTTCCAAGAGCTGTTCCCGCGTTGGCCGAAGGGTGGTCCTGGCCAAAGAACTGGATTTCATGGAAAAAAAACATGTGATTTTGCCATGGATTTCACCGTGGAAACACAGAACTAAGGCGTTTCGTCATGGAAATAAACCATGGGATTTGACCCTGGATTTTGCCATTAAGGAAAAATAGGTTTGATCTGAATTCTATGGGGAATTGAACTTGGAGCTGGGAAGACGCAGGGCATGCCTGAAAACCAAAGGGTTGGCTTGGATTCGGGATTCCCAGTGGATAACCAGTCCGTACCAGTGAAACAAATAGCCACAATCACACTTCAGCAATCGCAAGGTGTCTAAAGCAGACTGCCAGTTTTCTTGCTAGTGGGATAGTCCCTGAAGTTAGCAGTATATGGGACTAATAGTCCCATTTCAGTGAGTTTACCAGTCGCAGTAGAAACTGGGATTGCAACTCACTGAAATTCATAACCTGCCCTGTGCCTCAAGCCGTCGGTGATGGCTGGTTCCCTGTCGACTGCCGCCGGACAGCCTCCAGATGTTGAGAGTTTCCCAAAAAATTGGCGGATAGGCGGGGCCTAAGTCATTTGGATTCGCATTTTCTTGTACTCTATTCGTTTTCATAACCCCATTCAATTGGGTCTGAAAACACAATTGAGGAAGCATAAGCGAAGAGTTTCCAGGGCACAGGGCTTGGCCTGCGAGTTCGTCGTCAGGGTTGTTGCAGGCATCAGTGTAGCAATTCTTCAAGACCTGTCAACACAGTGAATTGATGTCAATTGGCTATGGATGAAGTCATCAGGTACCAATAGAACCCCCAAAGTTGATCGCCGCTATCACACACAGGGGGATTCTTAAAATGTGGAATCCCCAGAACCAAGGGTTTCAATACAAGAATCTTCAAATTCTGAATGAAAAAATGGGTACCCCACCTTAGGAAACCTCCACATGTTATTCCAAGTCCTGCAGTGCCGATCCATGGATTCCACCAGGATCCCGCCGGGGCCTGTGCATTGGAGATTCGCGTAAAGGCGCTCACGCTCAAGTTGCGTTGCAACTCCTTAAGGAGCTGGAGACGGGGCTAAAGAGGGGGGAAACGATTGGGCCCTTTCGTTTGATATATATATATATATATACATACTTATATATATATATACTTATATATATTTATATACTTATATATATATACTTATACGTAAAACATCGATATATAATATATAGTTATCACTATAAGTATAATTGATTAGTCTTAAAAAATGCTTCTAGTTGGGCCCAAACAAATGTGCTTCCGCTCGGTATTGTGGTCCAGAATGATGGGTTATATCACCATCGTATGTCTGCGGATATGTATATGTAGGTAGATTATATATGCGCGTGTGCATTTTATTCATGTGCACCTACACCTATATACCTGCCCAAGTATCTGTATATATATGTATGATGTATATAATATGTATGTATGTCTATGTATGTATGTCTATGTATGTATGTCTATGTCTATGTATGTCTATGTCTATGTATGTCTATGTCTATGTATGTCTATGTATGTATGTCTATGTATGTATGTCTATGTATGTATGTCTATGTATGTATGTATGTATGTATGTATGTATGTATGTATGTCTGTGTATGTATGTATGTATGAATATGTATGTCTATGTCTATGTCTATGACTATGTCTATGTCTATGTCTATGTATGTATGTATGTGTGTGTATGTGTGTATGTGTATGTGTGTATGTATGTATGTATGTATGTATGTATGTATGTTTGTATGTTGTATGTTTGTATGTTTGTATGTTGTATGTATGTCTGTCTGTATGTATGTCTGTATGTATGTCTGTATGTCTGTATGTATGTCTGTATGTATGCCTATGTATGTATGCCTAGTCTGTCTAGGTGTCTTTGTTGTCTATGCATGTCTATGCATGTCTATGCATGTCTATGCATGTCTATGCATGTCTATGCATGTCTATGCGTGCTATGCATGTCTATGCATGTCTATGCATGTCTATGCATGTCTATGCATGTCTATGCATGTCTATGCATGGTCTATGCATGTCTATGCATGTCTATGCATGTCTATGCATGTCTATGCATGTCTATGCATGTCTATGCATGTCTATGCATGTCTATGCGTGTCTATGCATGTCTATGCATGTCTATGCATGTCTATGCATGTCTATGCATGTCTATGCATGTCTATGCATGTCTATGCATGTCTATGCATGTTTATGCATGTTTATGCATGTCTATTCATGTCTATGCATGTCTATGGATGTCTATGTATGTCTACGTATATCTATGTATGTCTATGCATGTCTATGCATGTCTATGCATGTCTAGGCATGTCTATGCATGTCTATGCATGTCTATGCATGTCTATGCATGTCTATGCATGTCTATGCATGTCTATTCATGTCTATGCATGTCTATGGATGTCTATGTATGTCTACGTATATCTATGTATGTCTATGGATGTCTATGGATGTCTATGGATGTCTTTGTATGTCTATGTATGTATGTCTATGTATGTCTATGCATGTCTGTCTATGTATGTCTGTCTATGTATGTCTGTCTATGTATGTCTGTCTATGTATGTCTGTCTATGTATGTCTGTCTATGTATGTCTATGTATGTCTGTCTATGTATGTCTGTCTATGTATGTCTGTCTATGTATGTCTGTCTATCTATGTCTGTCTATCTATGTCTGTCTATGTATGTCTGTCTATGTATGTGTATGTGTATGTGTATGTGTATGTATATGTATGTATGTGTGTGTATGTCATATGTATATTTATGTATGTATATATATATACAAATATACCTGTATAAATGCATATATGTATACATATATAGATATATACCTGTATATATATACATATATGTACATGAGAGTGTCACACAGAATCACGGTGGGCCAAGTCTCCGCCATCAAAGTATCACAAGTTCCTTGTGCAGCTCCCATGAAGCGACATTCCGCTTGGCCCTGGGGATTGAGGAACAGAAAGCTGCAACAAACCTAAGCACAGCAGCTGGGCTGGGCCATGGCAAACAGCCCATTTCTTGCGGAACATCATGGTGAAATCCATAGTGTGTTGGGAATTTCCATAGGTAGCACCATGAATTCCAACTTCAAGTCTTCCTGTAGTGCAGATGGACGAATTTTCACCAGAAAGCTGTTGAGGCATCTGAAGCTCCACTGATACCATCTGATAGAATGCCAGATAAGATAGCGACATCTTTTATATATACCAGATAGAATGTCAGAATATTAAACATATTATGTGAATATAAGGGAATCACCAACCATTTGTGTCTAATAAGTCATTTCAGCTTAGGCACAGCGAAAGGTCGACCATCGTAGCTTTTCCGATTCTTGCAGAAGTTCCACTCAAAGCGACCATCCTGGAGTCCAGTTGGTCCAGGCGGACCAGCATTGATTTCTGGAAAATGTAGATCTATTAATCTATTATATATATATATGTATATATATATATGTATGTACACATATGTATATAATGTGTATATATATATATATATTGACTTGTCTTAAGTTGGAAATTGGAAAGTTATAACTAAGTTATAACTGACCTATCCACAAACCGGTTGGGTTGGCAACTCCATTTTCGCAGTTGCAATTCCATTTTCGTCACTTTCCAGACTGCCAACCTGTCATCTCCTACTTGACTGATAGAATTCCCATTTGAGGGTCGTGATCATCCGTTTTTTTAGTTTTTTCATCATAGACCATCCATTTAGGAAACCCCCAGTTTGACAGCAAAAAGCCAGCCGATTCCCATCGCCAACCAGTCCATCGGCCTGGCACTGCGTCAGGACATCCGTCACGCCCGTCTGCTCAAAGGGCCCCTCGAAGCATTCGTAGCCCCGGTCGGTCGACTCCTGAATTTGTTGGACAAAAATGGTTCACACGAAGAATGAAAGAAGCGCTGAAATTCATTGAAATTCACCTAAAACCTGGGGAAACAAAAAAACTCAGCCAGGAGCATGCGATACTTAAAATCTCTTAGACTCCCAAAAACCCACTGCAGCACACTTTGGCATCCCTGGCATCCCCGGAATCCCCGGCATGGGCACCTGCACCGGACAGACCCGCTGATCAGTGAAGTAGCCCGTGAAGGGGTTGAGGATGAACTCCTGGCAGCTGCAAGGACTTCGCCAGGACGAAATCTCCCAGAAATCTTCGGCGCAGCTGCGCAGCTTCAGTATGTTCAAGTTAAACAATGTTCAGGGAGCTAATTTTTGAGGTTGTTTATACGTACTGTATCTGAATACTGTCTTTGGAAATTTGAATAAAATGACGTTGTATCCTTACCATCCGTCAGTCAGTCCGCTCCTCTGTGATCATGTTGCAATTGCTGGTGCTGCACTCTGACATCATGGTACCTCACAACTGGAAGGTCACAAATTTTGGCAAGACTTGATGTTCCCCTTTTTCTGCAGGAAATGTTGAACGCCAGATTGGCATCAAAATTGGGGTGGCACTATCTTCAATTGGTAAATGTTCATACATTCACTAATCATTCATTTGCCCCTCGGTAATCACATTGCTGTCATTGCTGGAAAATCCCTCATTGAGTTCCATGATTTTCCCAGCTATAAGCCTGCACGTTGATCGGGTTGATCGGGGACTTCCCAACCATACCTCCGCGAACATCCCAGCCTGTGGGTCGTCGCCGTGGCACCAGGGGATCATACACCGCCGCAGCGTCCAGTGCCAGGGGCTCCATTTGCAATCGTGTTAAGATCGCATCGAGCTTACCTTGGATTTTGAAACAAAAACTCAAAATTACTTTACTTCGAGTGATCCCCACCATGACATTTCAAAACAGCTAGTTGACAGCACTTTTGTCTGAAGCTTTTGTCACGGGACTTTTGCCCAACTAACTATCCCAATCATTTGTTTCACCTGGCAGGTCATTGTACAGGTCAGACTGTCAAACAGGATATAAACATGTCAGTGGACCATGTGAAGTAAACTCCAGAGCTCTCAACAGGTTTGTTTAAACATGACCAAACAGGGCAGTGGACCACCTGAGCCAAACAAACAAACATGCCCAAACATGTCAGCACGCCGCCTGTCAAACATGTTTGTACAAACATGACTGAACCAAGCCAGATAGAATGCCAGAAGATATGCCAGATAGAATGCCAGAAGATATGTCAGAATATATGCCAGAAGATATGCCAGATAGAATGCCAGATAGAATGCCAGAAGATTTGCCAGATAGGATGCCAGAAGATATGCCGGATATAATGCCAGAAGATCTGCCATATAGAATGCCAGAAGATATGCCAGATAGAATGCCAGATAGAATGCCAGAAGATTTGCCCGATAGAATGCCAGAAGATATGCCAGATAGAATGCCAAATAAAATGTCAGAAGATATGTCAGAAGATATGTCAGGGAACAGTTGGCATGGATACTCGCGGTTGAGGTCCGGCAGGGAACACTGGGCGCGGATGGTCGCGGTTGAGGTCCGGCAGGGAACACTGGGCGCGGATGGTCGTGGTTGAGGTCCGGCAGGGAACACTGGGCGCTGATGGTCGTGGTTGAGGTCCGGCAGGGAACACTGGGCGTGGATGGTCGTGGTTGAGGTCCGGCAGGGAACACTGGGCGTGGGTGGTCGTGGTTGAGGTCCGGCAGAGAACACTGTGGATCGCGGGTCGCAGTTGAGCAAGGACGACAAGGATGACACGAGCAAGGACGACAAGGATGACAAGGAGGACGAGGAGGAGGAGGACGAGGCAGGAGGAGGCGGAGGAGGAGGAGGAGCAGGAGGAGGAGGAGGAGCAGGAGGAGCAGGAGGAGGAGGCAACTGACATAAAATCTAACAACCCTCACCTGGCAGGTGGGGAATAATCTGTTTACAAAAAAATGTTCGCCATGAATATGTCCAGACACATCCATCTCTCTCTCTCTCTCTCTGTGGGCCTTCATTTCCCAATCTTACCTGCAATACATCATGGTAGCACAGGTGCGAGTGTGTATCTGCGATTGTTATTTCCGCCAAAATCCTGGGCCAAAATTCCTCATGTCATCATATCACTGTCGACTGCTGGATCAGTTGGATCCGCAAAAAGGCCCTGATCCGTTCAAGCGACCCGTGCAGTTCGTCGCGGTGCCGAAGGCCAAACAATCTTCTCCCCAGTAGTTCAAGCCACTGATCTGGCCACACCGGAGTTTCCGCGATGGGATTTCATGTGACATGAAAGCTGATGGTATCACCCCATCAACGAACATGAATGAACCAATGAACCATACAGAATTGATTCCCCAAGAACCATCTCAGTAGAGGCCATTTAGGCCATTGACAAAAGGGAAGAAAACATCAATCATCGGACTTTTCAGCTGGAGTCCATGTGACCTTTCAGCTTGGATCGGATTCGGATCGGCACCTTGGCAACGCAGCAGGTCAAGAAGGTGCATTCCTCCTGCAGCGACGACAGTGTCGTGACGTGTCGTGACGTATCGTGACGTCAACCAAGGCAGTGTGGAACGTCCTTGTTGCCAGAAGGGCAAAAGTCATCATATTCTTCGATGCAAAGCTCTCCTTGGCGATGAGTGGAAGTGGAACACAGGGGAACTATATATACACCAAACTGAAAAACAAACAGCGACAAAATTGTCAACCATGGTCAGCCTCATTCAGTTTGCACTAGAACATTGACAAAATCGCTAGGGCAGAAAGAGCCATACGGATATGCATATGTATGCTACACCACATGAAATTCGGTTTGCTTCAAGCCTGTGAACTGGTATAAGCGATACCACCAGACCAGGCCTGATCATTTACCCTCTGGTAAACTAACATAGCTATTGAAAATGACCATTTATAGTGGATTTTCCCATTAAAAATGGTGATTTTCCATAGTTATGTTAGTTTACCAGAGGGTATTATCTCAAATTTTGGAACCGCATCCCATCCATTTCCATCGCTGCAAGGTTCCACTGGAGGTGGTAGCAGTGCAAGTGGCACAGTTCTTCCGCCTCCAGTTTTAACCCTGGTGGAATGGGGATGCCCTTTGGGCGTCAAGCCCGATAGGGGTTGATGGGGTGTAAATAGTTATATATATATATATATTATACGTAAATATTACTGAATAAACTGAATATACTAAAGAATAAACTACTCTTTCGTGTAGAATATCATATTACTTTAGAAGGTTCCATGTGACTTTATATACTTTTATGTAACCCTTTCAAAGATCAGGCTGTGTTTGTTTGGGGGGTACCTTTTAGGGGGACCCCTAGATTTCCATAGACTGCTGCCGTTCAGCTCTAAGCCCAGCCTGAAATCCCCAACTGGACAGGACTGATGGCAGCTGATCGATGGTCGCGGAGTCGTTTCTAACTTCTGTGGGAAGGTCGGAGAGCAGTCCCAGTTATCAAAGTTGTAATGCGAACCTGCAGAACGGATCGTGCAGGAAGCACGTCTGGACTTAGTTTTGAACCCGTCCCAGGATGTCAACAACCAGGCTCAAGAATGGGTCATGGTTGGTATTGTTCCATGTTGGTGGTACATAGGTTTGAGCCATTCCCTCAACAACACTGCACCAGCTGGACCATCACAATGATGCGATTAACCGATGAGGCTTCCGAGCGGCATTCCAGACTCGATGTTCCAGCTTCTCCATTGTCACAAACACGATCTCCCAGGTTTGTTTCGAAACCCACGAAGCAATTGCCGGCACAGTCCCGGTTCACACTGATGCCATTGCCCCAAGAAAACCGCCTCAGCCGAATTTCATCAACTCCCAATGGGATGCATCATGACTGGAATCGATCCATAGTTCAACATTAGACAAACCTGTTGCCTGGACTTTGCTGGAAGCCGAAAAAGGGCAGCCGCCCTCCATTGCTGATCCATGCTGATCCACACCCATGCTTCTCCCGAGGCCTGACTTCACAGTCATAATCCTGCGTGGTGATTCGTCCGCCATTGTCTCGTGCGATAGACAGCAAATAGCCTCGAAGGGGTGAGTAAAACTGGTGGAAAGGCACTGCCGGACCTGGACTTTGATGAATGGCCAAAACTGGTGTTTTCTCTCATTGACTTTGATGAATGTTGGAGCATGACTTCTGACTTGATTACAAATCACAATTAATCCTTAAATCAGGATTTCTCAATCCACGCATGATCTGCGCTCTTTAGTAGAGTCACCAAGCGTGTCAAAGCCAGTGTAGGTCACCTGTCGTGGGCTTGCTGCTGGTCATGCGTTGGGTGTCAAGTGTCAAGCTTAACCCCACGTTAAAAGAAAGAATGTTTCAAATGAATCTGATGGTGTTTAAGCGTCATTTTGCCCTCAATTCACTTATAGTCAGAACACTTTCAATATTGTTGAATGATGTTGAATGTTTATTTACTCTTCACTGAACAACGGCTTTGTTCTCAGTGCCCTCCGGTAATTAAACATGCTAATGGAAATGGAAATTCCGCCCCTTAGTTTCGTTCCATGATTTTCCCAGCAATAAACCTGCTTTTATAGTGGATTTCCCAGCCAGCCATGATTGATTACCGAAGGGTAGCCCCAACCATGCCTATGTTATTCACTGGAGGGTATATCCCATCATATTCCAATCATGTTCCCATTGGTTGTTTTCAACAATACCATGTTTTTCAGCAAAATCCCCAAATGTTGATGTGTAAGCACAATCCCATCAATCATCATCAATCCCATGGGTACCTCAATCCCACCATCAATCCCCATGGTTGACGCCTTGATGCCAGGCGGTCGCTGAACGGTCACGGACACACCTTCGGGCGGCCGCCAGAAAAATTCGATGCGAACAGGATGGAGACCTGGTAGAACTGAGATCCTTCAGGGGGATTGGATGACACTGGATTCACTGGATGGTGCTGCATGGAGACCTGGTATCAACTGGGATGCACTTCGATTCAGCAAAATCACCATCTACCAGGGATCAACCAACCAACAACGCTCCAGCAGCGCCTTGCTTCCTTTCTTTGGGAACCATCTTGGAGGCCATCGTTATCCACCAGGACCTCCAGCGCTCAACGAATCCTATGGATTATCAATGATCATCCGTGATGATCCACGATCATCCATGATCATCCATAAGAGGTTCTTCATCATCATATTCATAATGGATTATCCCCCCAAATATCCAAAACCATGGATTATCCCCCCAAATATCCAAAATATGCGAATTCAAAGTTTTTGATTACCATCTTTCCCAACCATCATCATTCATCATCATAGTCTCTAGTTCCACGCCTGTTCTCCATTCAGCCCGCGTCCACCAAAGGTCAAGCGCCCACCGTCGTCCGAGTCGATGCCTCAACCGTTGGAATCTATGCATTTTCAGGACCCAGAGGTGACCCTCCGGAAGATCGGGCTGATTTATGGGGAGTTGATTGCGATTTGATGGGAAATCTGGGACTAAAAACCCGATTTGATTAGGGGTCAATGCTGATAATGGGATACTAACCAGCAATTTCATAAGGGTCTGCCTGAAAATGGCGAGTATGGCTCCAGGAAAGCAATGCTTCGGGAAATGGTGATTCATCATCAACTTTTGTGGACATGTTCAAACGGTTCAAACGACAGACGAATCCATCTCCCAAAATATGGCCTCTATGGGGGTCAGTTGCTGCACCAAAGCGCAGGTCCCAATCGCCCATTTTCAGACGAACCTCTTCCAAGAGTTTTCTTGGAAACACACACAACTTGCTGCATAAAAATGAAAGTTTGCTTGCAGGTTAAATACCCAGTGGTTTCAGTTTAAACTGATTTTTTTTTTGATTACTGAAGGGGTCAACTCCATCTGCTCAGCCACGAAAGAGGTACTCACCACCATTGGCAATCAGAAAAAAGCCTCGGCCACAGGAAGGCTTGGAATGATGGGGGTGTAGCCGTATTGGAAAAAGCTTGGGACTTCCCAAACCTTCATGATACATTCCTGTAATTTCTAGCATTTGTAACTATGATTCATCCCATGCGCGACCAAGTGGCCTTGCCAACGTATATAGACTGGATGGTTCATCGCTTCCGTGTCAACACTGAACTGGCCCTGCAAGATAGCAGAAATCCGAGAGAATCTTCCGAAACAAAAGCATAGCAAAGGCTGCCAGTGGGGATTTTCATGCCACTGATGACTATTGGACTATTGCATGCGGTTTGAAACCCGCCATGAAGAACCTCCCACTGCTGACTCACTCCCGATCCCAGACCTCTCCGGGCCCTGTGTTTTGAAAAGGGTCATCCGCACGGTAGAGCAGCTTGGCGTTAGGATAAGCTCGGGCAAAGTCGCCCAAATAACTGGCAGGAGGCAAGGCATCTGGATTGTCCTCGGACACATCAAAGACCTCCTGGCGAAGAAGCTTGACAGGGCATGGGTGGAGGATGCCTTATCCAAGTGCAGGTCGAATTGTCAAACTAGACCAGTTTATGGCGGCTCAAAAAACTGAACCCTCTCCAGACACACCGTACCCAAAACAAACGAAAATGTAGTATCCTTGTTCTTCCACAAGAAGTGGGTGCGGGGTGAATGGGAAAGCCCCCCGTCCTTGATCATGGTCTGCGATCGCGGGAAGCCCAATTTAGTGGGAGGAACTGTGATCAACAGATCTTTGGTGTCAGGTCCAGAATACCTCGCAGCAAATTGGTTGATTGATAAAGAAGGCGTTGCATCTTTAATCTGAATGGCATCCCTCTGTTCCAAGCTTTCATGCTCCATCTTCACATGGACAGGTGAAATTTGAACAACAAAACCTCTGTGGTCAGATGCGCGTTCACAAACTCTGAGCTGATTCTTTTGATTATCACCTCTGAATCGGACTCCCGATTGCATGCTGGTTGAATCTTTAAGACCATGGATTGCTTTCAGGGAAAATCTGGAGGAGTGGCATTAGAAATCAAATAACCTTAGTAATGCAATAATAACCCATATTTTCATGGTCTATAGCACCACCATGGTAAAATTGGGGATGCTGGATCCTATTGCTGGATCCCAACGAGGGGTGTCACCATGTTCCCATGACAAGATGCTTGAAGTAGAGGTGCGCATCGCCGCCGCGCTGGAAATACTCAATACGCATCGGATGCAAACCAGCTGTGAGGTACCTGGTGGGGGTAAACCCCATATAATCCTATCAAATGGAAAAATCTCCCAATTAGGAACCCCAACATAAATAGATCTAATACTAAACTAGTTCTTGTGGTAGCAAAGATCCAACAAAAGCCCAGGATTTAGATATTTGAAAGGGAGAAATCTGGTTTTAAACCACATAAAATTTTGATCCCCAGAGGACCAAAATAATTTTTCGCTGCCGGCGATCCCATCGATCGTTGTCATCCCATAAGTCTCGTAATTCCGACTGATCGTTGGGTTTACCTTAGATCCAATAATCCCAATAAATTAGGGTTTATTTATAATAATAATCCCAATTATAATAATCCCAATAATTCCAATAATCCCAATTTTTATAATAATCCCGATGGTACCTCATGATTATGATAAATCCCATAGTCAACCTCCAAAAATCATCCCATCTTTGATCCAAAGCCAACTTCCGATTCTCCCTGCCTGGTACTTGTCAGTACCACTGGCTCGCTAACACAGGTGCCAGATAAACCACCGTCACCTCAAGGTTGGAAAATGAGGGAAAATGGGTCTCCATTAGAACATGGTATGTGGTTTCAAGTCATCCCATAAATGGAAATCCAAACATCATGGGTACACAAATCCGTACGGGATGTCATTGATGACCACCCCCGAAGGACTAGATTAATCCAATCCAAATCTTGACAGATGCGGACGCATCCGCTGAATCATGCTCCAAGCAGAGGTGGCGAATGCATGAGTTTCTAACTGGCAAAGAGTCCGAACACAACGGAACAGTGAGAACAAAAAGACGCAAAATTCGCGAATTGTGATCCTTGTCACCGTCGCTTCGTAAATCTCGTGAATGTCTTATAATTCCTCGATCTGCTCGGGACATCTTCTTCCAATAAATCAAGAGTCAGTGTAGGTCCCGGATTTTTCCTTCCAACCTTTGACCATGGCACACATGGAACCTTAAAACCAGGGTCCCACAGATGCTAGGGGAAATTGTGGAACCATCCTGTCGGCGGCCTTCTAAGTGCCACATGCTGAAGGGTTCGCAACCCCAATCTGTGACCTTGCAGTTGTCGTAGATGCCTGACTTGGTGTCCCAGTCTGATTGGATTGAGAATCTTCCAGCAGTTTGCGTCCATGGTCCATTACATACCAAATAATTTTGAAATATTTTGAGGTAGATTCATTCTGTTTATTTTTGAAATGACAAGAGGTGTTGCTCTAGACACGTCAAATTCCAAAAGTTGCAATATCCTGCAAAAAATGCAATTTTTGTTTCAAAGTGTCAGAACCTCTTAAGATTTGTCTTTCTTCATCCTCTCTTCTGTGCCTTGCGCACACTCGTCGCACTGATTGCCATAAGATCCATCATCCACGCGGTTTTTCCGCATGTCCTGCATGGCCCAATTCTCAACATCAAACCTGGCGAAAGCGGAGTTGGACCGCAGAAATGACCAGAATCCGTTGGTTTTTAACCAAAGATTGACAAAGTCTAGTTGCTGTAGGTTTTCTTAAAGATCCTAGTTGGTTTCCCCAACGGAGATTTGACATACAAAATAAAAAGGAAAAGGGAACTATCCATTCAGCCGGTAGCGCAGCGAAAGTGGAGAAAACACCGGACTGTAGCCATGACGATCAATGTGTCCACCTTCGTTAAAAGCCATTTTTGCAAATGGTTTGCCATAGTTTGCCCAAAATTGACTGTGCCCCAATCATTCATTTCCGAACCTACAAAAGAAAAACTATCACTTTCGGTAGTTTTTATGATGTAGAATACAGAATATAACGGGCATATATATATATATATACATATATATATATACATATATATATATATATTCATTTATTCATTTACACTTATATCTAGATTTTTACGTATATGTTTATTTATTTATCTATTTATTTATTTATGTATTTATCATTTTTAATTTAAATTAATTGATTGATTTTTGTTTATTCATTCATTCATTTATATTTATATATTAAACAAAAATTATACAAATATATATATATAGTTATCGAAGGAAGTTTAGAAGTCAAACGTCCGACAATATGGGAAGAGAGAGAGAAGAGCAGAGAAGAAGCAAGAAGATCAGAGAAGAGAAAGAGTCAGAAGAAAGAAGATGCAGGTGCGCGAAAAGGTAGAAAAGTCGCGAATCACTCTGTTTTTCCTCTGATTTCTGGCGCAGTAGGGTCGAAAAGTAGGCTCGCTAAAGCAGCGGGTGCGGAGCCATCTGGCCAGATGAGAGATGAAAAATTGCACGCCGTTGTGGCGCGAAGCACATTTCCAAGTCAAAATGTACTACAAAACACACCAACGTCGGACCACTTTCGGAAGTTGAGATGTCGAAAAAATGCACGCCGTTGTGGCGCAAAGCACATTTCCAAGTCAAAATGCACAAAACACACCAACGTCGGACAACTTTCGGGAAGTTGAGATGTCAAAAAAATGCACGCCGTTGTGGCGCGAAGCACATTTCCAAGTCAAAATGTTAAAAAACGACATGTTCAAACCACTCTTGAACGTTCAGGTGTGTTCTGCGTGGCAGGCGCAAGGGATTGTGCACCTTGTCAAAAGCGAGTAAAACGTGAGGGTTTTGTAGCAGATTAATGCAGAGGATCCGTAAAGATGCACTTTCCGTGGCAGGCGCAGTACCAGAGACATGTTCATCAGAGATGTTAAAAGGTCAGGGCGCTGATTTCCTGAGAGGGGTTGCATTTTGGAGCATCAGATCTTCAGGTTTGCTGAGATGATTTTGCGTGACAGGTGCAGCACTTCGTATGACCTGGCATGACTTTTTCGTGGCAGGCGCAATACTTTACACAGGTTGACTGGAAAAATCGCAAAACGTATTGGCACGAGGCCGTCAGCTCTGCACTCAACTTTCCATTATTGAAGGAAGTCTCGCAGAATTGCTTCGTTTTTGATGTTGCCAACCTCAAAAAAAGAGGAAGTCTCGCAGAATTGCTTCATTTTTGGCGTTATCAAGTTCAAAAGTTGAGGAAGTCTCGCAGAATTGCTTCGATTTTCATGTTCTCACCTGCGAAAATGGAGGAAGCCTTGCAGAATAGCTTCATTTTCGGACTTGCTGATTGATTGATTGATTGATTGATTGATAGATAGATAGATAGATAGGAAGATAGATGGATAGATAGATAGATAGATAGGTAGGTAGATAGGTAGATAGGTAGATAGCTAGCTAGATAGCTAGCTAGATAGCTAGCTAGATAGATGGATGGATAGATAGATAGATAGTTAGATAGATAGACAACTACAACTGCAACTACAACTACAACTACACTACCACTACACTACCACTACAGCTACAAATGCAAATATACTACAGTACACTAATTGCACTACACTAATTACATTACACTACACGACGCTACACTACACTACAACTAAAACTATAACTACTATTACAACTACAACTATTATTGCTACTACAGCTACAACTACAACTACGCTACATTGCACTACACTACACTAGTTACATTACACTACACTACACTACACTAGGCTACAACTACAACTACAACCTACAATTACAACTACAACTACACAACGCTACGCAACATCACTAATTACACTACGCTACGCTACGCTACACTACACTAATTACACTACACTACACTACGTTACACCACAGTAAGCTACACTACGCTACACTAAATACAGCAACAACTTCAACTACAACACTTTACACAACACTACACTAGACTACACTACACTAGACTACACTAAAGCACACAACACTACAGCACACTGCACTACACTACATTACATTACACTACACTCATTACACCACACCACAACTACAACTGAAACTACACTACACTAGTTACACTACACTGCAACTACAGCTCCACTACACTACAACTACAACTACAGCTGCACTACACCACACTACATCCAGCAGTTATGGGGGAGGTGACCACTGCAACCATTGCAACCACTGCAAAAAACACAACTCCAACCACCTTTCGGTCCATCAGTGGATTCGCTCTGCCATTCGTGATTCACAACAACCAACCTCTCCTATAGGTTTCCTATTTTTGAAACTACCGCCACCGCCTTGTGCGGTACTACTGGTGCTATATATATATATAGTTATTTATTTAAATTCATATACATATTACATATAACGAAGGGTAATGTGACGTAGTATAGTGTAGTGTTATGTCATGCAATGTAATGCAATGCAATGCAATTCAATGCAATGCAATGTAATGTAGATGTAATGTAGATGTAATGTGGATGTAATGTAGATGTAATGTAGATGTAATGTAGATGCAAATGTAGATGTGATGTAGATGCAATATAGTGTGCATATACACAAGTATGCAGTACATTGTGCGTATATCCCACCAAATTAAGTGTCCCCAACAGTCTGCCTTGTCGCGCAGCTTTTGCCCGGACAGGCGTCGTGACCCAAGATCATGCGCACTCCGTCACCAGCGTCCAACTGGAAGGTATAATCACCTGGGCTGAGCTGATTTGAATTTGATAGGCATTTTATTTAGTGATGGGACCAACAATTGGCATGTTGGGTCTGTCCGAAAATGTGGTGAAAATGTGGTATAGTTTAGCCCCAAGTTATGACAATTTTTATGGGGAAAATGATCATTGACCAGTAAATTTACGGGTAAACCTACTTTCAGGCAAACCCATCTTTCCGAGAACCAGACTGGGATAGACTGATTGTGCAATAGAGTTTCCATCACAATATGGTAACCCAAAAAGAAGCCACCCTCGTTCCATAAATTCGGTGTTGACAACGCTGTTGACCGAGGGAGCGCGTTTGCACTCAAAAACAACTCCGCAAACTGTGGTATTAGTGCGCTCAACTGGAAAAGCCTTTAGAACTCCTGACTGGGTTAAGAAGTGGCTTATAACTTATAACTTATAACTGGCTGACTATCCGCTTCCTGAATCCCCCATGTCGGCCAAGCGGTGACGGACAGCTAGCACTAAGCGAGACTCCCCAATGCCCATTCTATTCAAAGGAAACCATGTAGGCCATCACCGATTTCCATTCTGTCAAAGGAGTCGTACTAAAACTAGCATTGGAACACTTCTCACATGTCCGGGCAGAAATGAGTCGCCACTAATGAATCTTCACACCTCTGCAAGTAAAACCTAGAAGAAAGCTTGGGTGTTGAGTGAAAACTGACCGCTTCTTACCCCCACTCGCTTGTGTATTTCTCAGGGTTTGTCACCCTAAAATCTCAGGGTGCCGGGGCCCATCCCGCAGGGACAAGGCCTTCCAGAAAGACGTAGAAATAGCCCGTATAGCGTGCTGCAAAATTCTTCCTCAGCTCCTGCACATTGGACGGACAGTCTAATGATGGCTATGGGTCAACACTTGGACCCAAACAATCCCATGGTTTCAAAGCTCAAGATCCACGTTTTTGATGGCCAGGAAATGAGGTATCCCCCATGTTTGAGACTAACCAAAAAGGGCCTGAGTAAACTTTGGAGTGCCAAAAAGGATGCCTCATGACTCATGACAACAAAAGGACCAAAATCTGCAGGTTCTCTGAAATATGTTGATCCATACCTGCCGGATCAAGATTGGTTGCGGTTGCTGATTGGATTCAGTGAGCGGAAGACTCTCACAAAGAAGCGAAGTACGTCTTTGGTGGATTGGCGAAAAATGCTATCAGCAGATGGGTAGCAGAGAAACAGATTAAGACAAGTAGAGGAAGACCAACAAAGATCATAAGACCATCGCTTCTTAAGACTGCCTTACTATTTCTAATGTAGATTTACCCACAGGACGAGGGGTTTGCCCAAACCCCGAGTGCGGAGCCAGCAACCCAGTGGAAGCATATGCCAGTGGTTTTTCCATTACCAGCATGGTTGTCTGCTGCCAACAGGCTCGAGACATGGAGTGTTGGACCAGTAAAGATTGGTATATATAATTTAGAACCACAACAAATAACCATACTTCCAATAGGTTTTTATTTAGAGTTTACAGTACATAAGTTATAAAATCCCCGAACCCCATGAAACAAATGACCGTACTTCTATTAGGGTTTAATTTAGGGATGCATACAATGTGGAGAAGTGCTCACGGCTGTGGCAAGATGACTTATGAACACTCCAGACTCGCCAAACAAGTGAAAACGGGGAAAAGGCGGAAACGCATGAAGTCCGCAGAGGGATCACTTTTCTGCCTGGTTTTCATAACAAATTGCCTTGGGAGATACTAACGCGCAAATGTACCAAGGTCATAGAACACGGTGCCTGCGCAGTGAAATGAGCCTCCTTAAGACGTTAATCATTCTGTTCCTGGGAAACCCTCAGTCCTGCCCGTATAATATATATATATATACATACATACATACATATTTACATGTATAGACGAGGTCTCTTAGATAAGGAGAAAATTGGGGGACCAAATTGTGGCGCTCCTCTTGACCCCTGCAACTGTAGACCAGCCTTTCACCCAGTAGATCCTGCCAGCTCCGGGTGCAATTTGGGGATGAAATCGGATGAAGGGCATAGAATTACCATACATCCTGCGCACCACAGGCACTAGAATCACTAAGAGTGAATGAAAAACCATGAATCATCAATGGATTTAAACATATTTAATCCATTGTAGTCAATTGTAGTCATTTAATCATAGTTAACCCATTGTAGTCATGTTCTTAAGATTCTAAACTAAGCATTCGTGCCATGGCTTTCTCGCATCCCCATCCCGCCACCGGTCCATCTCCCAGGCACAGCGGTCAAGTCCAAAGGCATCACGGCTGCCAAAATCGATCCTGGCTCTGGACATCTCCGGAAATTCGAAGTCAAGACATGTCAAGAGCCCGTTAGAAACATCAATTGAAGCAGGGATCTTGGGTTTGGCATGCTTTGGCTGACAAAAGAAACTAGAGGCAAAGGAAGAATCACTAGGAGCCTCCAATCTCTTCATGGGGCAAAATGTTTTACCAATCAAAAGCCTCAGGAAACCAAGAAACAATGGCTGGCTTGCTCCGCTTCAAACTACAGCTGTTTGACTGAAAATGTCCCTCAAATCAGCGACGAACAACATGCAACATGAAAGGCCTCTCTATCCTGTGCTGGAGGTTGGGTAGAAGAGTCCGGAGCACCTACCAGATGACACGGTTGAAACCTGGGTGTGTGCAAAGGTGGAGTATTTACCAAAATCTATGGCCATGTTTTCATGGAGAAAATGATGAATCCAAAGGTTCTGGACTCGCATCAGCAACCACCAAATTCACCCAGTTTTGTAACCCAACAGCAGGTTCCAGGGTTCCAAGGTGTCGTTCCAGCTCGGGCCCGGCAAGAAAATTGAGCACCAGCCCCAGACCCGGAGATTGAAACCCAACAGCCGCTGCAAAGAAGACTATTGGTTGGGATCTTCCACATTGACACAGATCAAGAGGATCCTTTCTTTCGGCCTGAGATTAGAAAAATTAATCCGCAAGCATAGGCCCCAAACAGCATCAGAGATTTCAGTTGCAGATTTGTTTGGGACGAAAATACAAGGGTCCATGACAAACACCTTCTTCGCCACCGGGTCGGAAAATCGACTACCCCTAAATTGAACCATAAACTTTGGTTTTCATCAGTTCACCTATATTACTAATATACCTTGGGACCCTCACTGCCCATTTTCCGGTCCAACCTGCGTGGAACCATTCGCCGGATCACAACTTTGTGCTGGATCAAAGGGCGTGAAGTACTCAGCTAACAGCCCCGTGTTCTCATTGAGGCTCTGGGCAAGTGACGGCGAACTTCAAACATAAGGGAGGGCATATGGGACGTCAAATCCTCACAGATCTACCACATCTGTGTCAATCTATAATGCGAACCGTAAGGATAGAAGATATTCCACGAATATTTCATATAGAAGTTGCCATTTTGGGGGTCCAGAAAGCACCAACCACATAGAAGATAATGCGTGTTGCAAAAGTTGTCTCAAACAGGTTTTTGGGGGTTACAGCCACATTGTTGGGGTATTATTTTCTATTTGGTTTGTAAATGGAAGTTGCCTTTCAACATCAACAATTCACTGGTATTTACGGTGTTTCTGGCCATTTTGACCAAACTTGCGGTATTTCCATATGTTATATATGGTTAAAATGGGACATATATATATATATTATACATATATACAACCTTCTGACTATCTTGGTATACATGCATACATACCTGTATATACATACAGAGTGTGTGGTGTGTTTGCCAGTGGCACTGCTACTAGTTCATATGTCTCACATTGCATGGTGTATTCATTTGCCACATCATACCACCTCCTCATACATGAGCCACAAGGTCCACGATACCATGTCCAACTCTGAAGATTACATGATTACACTAAACAAGAGGAAAACCAATTCCAGGACAACCGTTTCGAAGGGGAACAAGCCATCAATTAGCACCAATTCCGAACACATAGAAGTCCAAACCATATAGAAGTAGACCACTTTCAAATCCAATTCAAATAGAAGATATTGAGGAATATTTCAATTTGTTGTTGCAAGAGTTGTCTCAGTTCTGGGTTCCGGATGGTGATGCTGGTCTTCCTTGGAGCCCGTTTTACATATTATCTTCTATATGATCTGTTCTGGAGGTACATAGACCGTACAATTCATCTAGAAGTTGAATTGCCTGAATATATTCTATCCTTGATGACCGTATTATAGTCTATATATTTACACAAACAATATTGTATGGTGAGAATACCATCAACCCATGATTGGGGAATAAATGGATGTAGCGCCAACAGTTCACAGTAAGCCAGTAAGCATTCCGCCGTGTTTACCGTGCTGTTGGGATCAATAGTTGACTTTCATGATCTTACACCTGCACATGTAAAACGGACCAGAGATTAAAATCACCTGGTTATTTGTTTCGATCCCTGCCTGAGCAGCACCTCTTAGAACACATAGGGCCAGGACAATCTGCCACATCACCCCATGCTGCACCGTTGGAAGCAACGCGCTTGGAGCAAAGTGTATCAGTGGGATGATCTAAGGAGTAGGCTCGGCTTCAGTGAAAAGGGCGCCAAAGATCTGGGGCTCCAGTTGTTTTCCTCTACTGTCTTTCCTGCTGTGCTGTAGCGGTCTTGAGGATTTGCTCTGCTTTCATATGTCTCCAGGCCAAGTGTAAGTGATGTGACCCGAAACCCATCCACAGCTCTCATATCATGCAACTCAGCTTGAACCAGCAGTTTCAAGCGAATTCACACTTCATCCTTCAAAAAGACACGAAAAATTCTGTTGGGACATGTCACATGTTCGGATTCTTCAATCTCCAAGCTCACCTGCCATTTCTTGGTCCTTTGGCACCCCATATTTTGGGTGCCCTATAACAAGCACGATGACCGGCTCCCAATTTCCTCCATGACCCAGCTTTGGTCAGAGACCTCTGGAGGCTCAGCGGCATCCACTGGTCGACCCTCAGAGTCCTCGAGGGTTGTCTTTTGGGAGGAATGATTAGAGGAAGGAGCCCTGTGGATGAGTTCAACCATCGAATAAAGATCAATTCAAAATCGAGATCGGACATGATAGAACTGATAGAACCAACAAAAACTGGGGACGGATCGGATGGGCCGAACAAAATTGATTGGCACAGGACATGATCAAACTTACCAAGTCTTGTGGGTCCAATTGGTGCGCCCATTTCTGCGCAATAAACACACATGCTGCCAATCAATGAGATCATGGGCTCTGTCTGTCAACACTGGATACAGGAAATACAAACTGATTCGCTGCGCCTGTGGAGTATCTTCATCCTCCTGCAAGCTTCTGTAATGGCAGTGCGGGAGCCTTTCTTAGAAATATCAAAAACTGTTGGACATGCCGTCATGCCATACATTGCCATGCTGATGTACATGGGTTCTTTGTCAAAAGAGGCGCAAGTTACTTGCACTTACTTGCATCCACATTCTTCACTGACAGAAATCCCTCAAGCACAAACAGCGGAAGCCGAAAGGTTTGCCTCGGTCATCAGACTCGTAAAGGCCTCCCTGGCCTCTTGTCGGATCACACTGTGAACCCACTGACAACCGACGATTCATGGATTTTTTGTAGTACTTCGGACTCCTTGGGGTTACAATCCCAAAATGCATTCGATGTGGCAGAATCTTTCACTAAAAGCAACAAACCAAGCATACGTCACTTAGTTGATATCAGCTGCATATGCTCCGTGCCTTTGCCATGCCGGCGACCGCACCTAGCTGATGTCATCCCTTTGAAGGCTACAGGAATCGATCACCCATGGAGAATCATATTTCCCCCTGTTGTTTGGGAGATGGGGGAGGAAACTCCCGGGAAATCTGAGGCTTTCTACAAGCAAACTAGAGCTTTTCCCCAACCGCCCAGGACCAAGTCGGGGATGATAGGTACCCAAAAAGTCTTCACATCCACATGGTCTTGAACTTGTCCAAACAACATCAACCCAAAAAAAAAGTAAAATGGAAAATGTGGTTCACTTTATGGATAATTTATTTAATTTACCCTTTTCTAGCTGTTTTTCTTTGGACGATGACCCTTCCAACCCAGTGGGATGGCCTGCTGACGAAGCGGCGAACAAGTCGCCCAGGCCGCGCGAAGGCTGTCCGCCATCGGCTTGGGCCTTGGATCATCGCAAAAAAGCCAGGACGATCACACGAAAAAGTGTGTTCACTTGCCTTCTGGCTTGTTTATCATGCTTTTTTGCATTTTTACTTGACTATTTACTACATTTTACTACTATGTATCGAAAATCTAAAAGTAGGGGTATTTTGACTGTTCTATGCTTTTTTGGCCATGGAAGATCTCCATGTTCAACCCGCAAAACCACCTACAAATGTAATACCACCTACAAATTGAGGGGACTGTCCATTAGTACAGAATTGCCAGAAGGTACCGCAAAATGTTCTCTGGTTTTTTCAGAGTTGGTACCCCCATGTCTTGAGCCGTGGCCAGTTGCAAAATGATGACAATTACTTGTTTCATCCAGGAAATTCCTAAGAGGATCTTGTTTCTATGTGTTTTGAACATATCATCATCATCATCATCATCATCATCATCACCACCACCACCACCATCATCATCATCATCATCTTCATCCTTTTCAAAACAAATCGGCAAAACGGCCTCAGAGCTTGCCGCTGGCTCATCCGAAGAACCCTCCGCCTGACTTTCCAATGGTGCGAGTCCGAAGATTGGAAAAGCCTGGTTCACAAATTAGGGGGGGCGAACTCAAAAAAGACAGTAAATTATGCTAAATAGCTAGCAAAAATGATACCACGAATGAAACAGGGTATTAATCCTGGATTGACAGACTCTCCCGTGCCTTTGAACCATCGATCTCATCCAAGATGCTTCCAATCTGCGCCGAAATGGATCTCCCCATCGTGTGTCATCAACTTAGACTCTGCATGATCATTGAAGCCGGAACAAATTACACGGTAGCCCAAGGTGGTTGAAATTCGGTAAACTTGAGTGTCTCATGAATGGCAAAAGCGAGGATTTGCAATGAGCCTACTTTTTCTTCTGTGCAAGCAGATCATATTGCGTGCCTTGTTCAGGTAGGAAAACATCTTGTCAAATTCAGCAAGATATGTACAAGGTGCAGGACGCTCAAGTTGGCTCAGAACCGAGTGCTTGAGTATGTCACCTGTATGGATTCCATCAAAGCTGTGCTCAGGGGCGAAAACGCATAAAAAAAAATGCAAAGGAGTTTAGGACTGTCACGTGTTGGCTGCAAACCCCTCGAGATACAAGAATCCTCCATCAGGATCTGTGACCATTGCTCTCACTTTGAGCCGCACAGCTGTAACACCGCAGACTTCCCGCAAGACTGTCAAAACAGACACACCTGAGGACGCTTGGCCGCTTGGCCACTGATCCCTAAAGTTGAAGTCAAAAGGCACACTGCAAAGCTTGACAGACACACCAAATGGCCAATGAGGATCTCAGAGAAAGGAAACCCCACTGTCACATGAACGTGACTCTCGGACATCTTCCTAACGAAGCTGAAATATGTATATAAACTATGTGTATATATATATGTATATACTCCATATGTAATATAAATATACTCTATAATATATATATATATGCACTATAATATATATATATATATCTACTATATTATATATACTATATATATACTACAAGTACAATATTATATATACACTACGTATACTATAATATATATATACTATAATAATATATATATGTATTATAATATATATATACTATGTATACTATAATATATCTGTACTATAATATATATATATACATACACTATGTATACTATAATATATATATACACTATGTATACTATAATATACATATATATATATACACACTAGATATATATACTATAATATATATATACTATAATATATATATACTATAATATACATATATATATATGTATATATATGTACTATGATATCTATATACTATATATACTATAATATAATATAATATATATATATACTATATACACTATAAAATATATATATACTATATATACTATAATATGTATATACTATATATATACTATAATATACATATATGTACTATAATATATATACTATAATATATATATACTATGATATATATATACTATAATATATATATACTAGAATATATATACTAGAATATATATATACTATAATATACATATGCTATATATACTATAATATATATATATGTACTGTAATATGTATATATATAAATATACTATAAAATATATATATATACTATATATACTATAATATATATATACTATAATGTATTTATATATATATATACACTTTATATACTATATTTTATATATACTATATATATACTATAATATCTAAATACTATATATATATACTATAATATAAATATTAATACTATATATACTATAATAATTTATATTTGCACTATAATATATATATATACTATATATACAATAATAGATTATAGTGTATATGTATACTATATGTACTCTCATATATATAGTGTACATACTATAAATATATACTATAAATATATACTATATATATACTATATATATACTATATATACTAGATATATACTATATATACTATAATATATATATATACTATCTATAGTACAATATAGATATATATATATCTATCTATAGTACATATATATATAAGTACTATTTTATATATATATACGATATATAGTAGAGTATTCATATGTTTAGATATATATATATACTATATATACTGTAATATATATATACTAAATATATACTATAAATATACTATAATATATATATACTATTAAATATATACCATATATAATATAATATTCATATGTTTATATATATATGTACTATATATACTATAAATATATATATACTAAATATATACTATAGATACTATAATATATATGTACTAAAATATATATACTATTATATATAATATAATATATATAATATAATATACGTATATATACCATATGTACTATACCATATATACTATAATATATATATATACCATAATATAATATATACCATAATATATATATACCATTATATATATACCATAATATATGTACTGTAATATATATATACTGGGATATATGTAATATAATATATATATATATGTGTACATATACCAAAATATATATACTACAATATATATATACGGGCAAACACCTCGATTTGCCCGCGCTTGTCGGCGGCCATCTTCATATGTGCTGAAAACGTGGTAAAAATTGGAGTTTTTTGCATCATGGCTAACTTAATGTTGTATATCGGCACGCACAGCATAGGGACCTGTGCGAGTCTCTTACACATCATCATCATCATCATCATCATCATCATCAGACCCTTATTGAAGATCTTCAATGAATGTAGAAGTTTAACGGGGGTGGGAGAATTAAACCCATATTTAAGATCTTCAATGAATGCAGAAGTTTAACGGGGGTGGGAGAATTAAACCCTTATTGAAGATCTTCAATGAATGTAGAAGTTTAACGGGGGTGGGAGAATTAAACCCTTATTGAAGATCTTCAATGAATGTAGAAGTTTAACGGGGGTGGGAGAATTAAACCCTTATTGAAGATCTTCAATGAATGTAGAAGTTTAACGGGGGTGGGAAATTTATATTCCCTAAATACCCTGGTTGATCTTCCCAATTGAATGTAAAGTCTAACGTTTGATATCCCCAAGTGTACAGCATAGAAGGGGTGTGGGCGAATCGGGGTGTTTGCGCGTATATATATATACTATAATATAGGTACTATAATATATATATATATATGTATACCATATATACTATAATAATATTCATATGTTTATATATATATACTATATATACTATAATATATGTATATATATATATACTAAATATATACTATATATATACTATAATATATACATATATATTATTATTATTATTATTATTATTATTATTATTATTATTATTATTATATATATACTAACATGTATATATATATATACTAATATATATATATACACTATAATATATATATATACGATATATACTATATATACTATTATATACATATATAGATATGTACTGTAATGTATATATATATTATATATAATATACCATCGTTTGAGATTTCCCCGAGCTGTGCAAAGGCCGCGGCAAGAATAAAATCAACCCAGGGCTTGGACGCACGAGCATGAGCAGCAGTTCTTTTTTTGCGCTTTGCGAAATCCTGAAACCAGCGTTGGATTGGGTATGTTTATGTCATTTATTGTAGTTTATTGTAATTTATGTATTTTTCCTAGTCTGCACTTGCAAGCCACAGACTTCCTTGAGTGTGGGTGTCCCACAGGGAGTGTCTTTGCAAGAGGGATCTTCCTTGATCATCAGAGGTTTCAGATTTGCTTTGCAAATTTGCCAGACTTTTGTCGATCCCATAGAAACTTTTACTGAGCTCAAGTTGTGAAGTGTGTGGGATGAGCAAGTAGTACAGCACCAAAAGTGTGAGGGTGTTTTGAAATTCTCTGCTACCTTTGTTTGGCTGATCCCCCTTGTTTCAAATATGTGGGCAGCTGGATATGATCAGATTCCCAAATCACTCAGGTGCCGCAGGACATTGCCACAGCACCGCAAGTGGAACGGGTCTCAGGAGGGCTTTCTTCGCAGCCATCCAAGAAAAATCCTGGCGCCAATTGGGATGAATGGTGCTGGGGGTTGGGACCACAGCCGGCCTGATTAGGCAGTGGGCTCATGCATGATCTCATTCAATGGGTTGAGTGGTCGATCGCAATCCTTGGCTAAGCTGGCGAAACACACCTTTTCTTGGCAGTTAGCAAGCGGGTTAGTTCACCCCACTTAATTCAGTAGGTTAGTAGGCTTATCTAGTTGTTTCACTGGGGGTATAATCCACCTACTGACTGGGATGAGCCACTAAGTAGGAATGTTTGGATTTGAATTCTTGTTTAGACGAATCCTTTGCTACAGGAGAAACACCTGAAGATACAGATTTTGTCCTGCAACAAAAGCCTCCATCCTTCATGTTTTCTTGAGAGTTCTCCGAGAGTTATGAATCTAATTCAATTCGAACAGATTGATTTCATCATTGTTCCCATTAATAAAAGTCGGTTTTGGAATTAGACATCTATCATTCTGTCATCAGATAATATATCCCTACATGGCGCCAAGGACAAGCCCAGCGCCAAGGCACCGAAATTGTGGACATGCCGGACGCAGGGCCATTGCTCAGCGCAGCCACCAAGTTCTTGGAGCGGCAAGAATATGTCAACCAAAATATGTTTCGATGCGCACAGTGCATATATCTATATCTATCTTTATACATCTATATATATATATGCCTATACCTATATCTATATCTCTATCTATATCTGTAAGTATATCTATCTTTCTATCTATCTATCTATCTACCTATCTATCTACCTATCTACCTATCTACCTATCTACCTATCCATCCATCCATCAATCCATCTATCCATCCATCTATATATTTTCTACTAGAGGTGCATACATTACGTTACAGTACATTACATTACATTAACAAATATATATATATATAGGTAGATAGATATACAGTACTGTAGTATATACACATAGTATAGGCTAATAGGCTAATATCATATATCTCAAATACCAATAGGGGCAGAAGCAACCTCATCGCTATCGACTCATGTGGTATCAAAATTCCTCATCATGCCTTGAACTTGAAATTGCCTGGACCAACTTGACGTATGCCAAGATGCAGAAATGTCCGCAGAGCAAAGTGCCTCGCAACCAGGGTGAATTTCAAACAAGCCTCATATGAAGACTTTACTCTTTTGTGATCTTGGTTCATATGTGGAGTTGTCTGAAATTTTAAGAACCCCATTCCATTTTGAAAGGTTTGTCATCATTTTGAACAGTTCAGTGGCCAAATCATGGGCTGATCCGTTCGTGCCTTCTGGTTTCCACGCTTCACACAGTCCGAAGCAGCCATCGACCTCAGACAACCGCTTGGTGGTTTCAACCTGAATTTCGATAAAAATTAAATTAGAGGGAATGAAAAATAGATCAAAAGAGTTGAAACCACAAAGCAAACATCATCATAGCCTGTTTGGGGCTGAAAAACATCGACACATCGACCTTTTTCCCCTTCATGTACTGCAGTGTCTGCAGCCATCTGATGAAGCAAGGAGCAGAAAACGTGAAATCCATCCAAAGGAAGAGATCACGTCCATTATGTCAATGGCACAGTTCCTGCATGGACGCTTCCCAGGATGTGGCTTCTGAGGCAAGTGGAGAATCTGCCACGCAACAGTGCAAAATCAAGGAAGCAAATGTCATTGAAGAATTCAGATTCACGACAAATTCAACGGAACCTGTGATAATTTGTAGGAAGGTTGGTATTAAATGACTAACTTTGTGGGTCATGGACTGCTTTACTCTCCTTGGATTAATGCATGCTCTGGCAGCACTGCGAAGTTGCAGGATGGATCGGACAACAAAAGATGCCTCAGCTGAGCAGATTTGACGGACAGAATGACTGCAAAGGTGAACCGTGTCCCACATGTTTGTTCAAATAAAAGGATCTTGAAGGCCACTGAGAAAATAATCCTCCAGTCAAGATGCAGCGTTTGTGGTGTCAAAGACACACTGTGAAATATCGAAATTTCGATTTCTTCGTGCCTCCAATTCACATGCCAAGGTGCCATCAGACTATGGCGATTGTCAAATTGGCAATCCATGGTCCAAAAAATCCATGACGAAAAATGACCAAAATCTGCAGTGGGCCTTAAATTTTGACCCAACAAAAAGCCAATCTGTCGCAAGTCCATTCCCAGTCTAACCGTCTAACCCCGGACCTGCCTCTCGTATAAACTTGATCTTATCTACGGCCTGCCCTGTCGGAGGGGCACCCGGAATAACAAAGGCTTGCCAACCTGCAATCGGTGGCCCATCGCGTCTCTCTTCGCTCATGTCCATGCGGCCTAACTGATGATTCTGCTGTGGGCACCCTGCCATTGACCGACCCCCCTGCCGCTTTCCCAGGCGACCTGGAACATTTCCAGTGAAGTTGAGCCAGCGGTTGTGAAAGTGGCAATTCTCGCGGGGCGCTGACGACTCCGCTCAAGACTTAAAACATCTTAAAAACATCCTCTGGCTACTTTTTCTGATCTGCGAAACTTCAAGAACGATCTACAAGAAGTGTCCAACATCCTCAAGATCAAGATTATTCGACAAACTAGTTACAAAAAAAAAAAACTGGTGCAAAAGTAGGCCATCCCCCCATCGGTCCTGCCGAATCCCAGCACCCGCGTTGGCCACCTCCGCGAAATCCGCGGTGAGTGCCATCCAGTCCGCACCGCAAAGGGCGTTCGAGTTCATGGCCTCCGCACAACTGGAGGCCTCCAGGCTGAGGTAGGAGGCCAACCAGAACCTGGGGCAAAATGTGCTGCATTGTTGTATACAAATATCATCAAATATCTAGATGAAAGTCGAAATCTCCTGGAATGAGTCTGGCTTCACAGCTGGGTCACATGGAAGCGATGAAGCCAGAGACACTGATGGCACAGCCCACAGGCGAATTGTCCGGGCATTGAAGGCCATCGTATTTGATGGCCTCATCAGATTGCCACCGTTGGGATAAAAAGTTGGGGAACATCTGCCGGAAATCCAGGGAAAACCCGGTGAAAGATGGTGGAAAAACCTGGAAATCTTGCCTTGAACATCCTTGAACGAATGAAAATGAATGTTCAAGTCATCTTGAAACAATTGCTGGTTGTGCTTGAGCCACTCCCCTCAAAACTATGAAAGTCATTGGGAATCTACATATGGTTACAATTTAAGTTACAATTAAAAAGTAGTTACAGTAAAACGACCAGGTTGGTTTAGTCTAGCCATGCATAGGCCATCAGGATGTCGAGCACTAAGCGGTGGATCCTGCAATTGTCAGAGATCATCAAAGGGGTCGGATGAACCCCGAGAAACAGTATGGTAAACGTGTTGAGATAAAGGCATCCACAAAGGCATCCACAAATTCTGATGGTCAACACTGGTCAACCCGTCAACCCACAACAAAAGCTCTCAATCTTGCATCTGCAAATCTAACATGTCTAGCACGCTTCTTGTTGACGAACTTTTCTGAAGATTCCACATGGATCCAATGTCTAGCAGAGCTGAACAGCTTTGGTTCGGAGTTTGGTTTGCAACTTGCCTTGTACAGAAACACCACAGCCGTTCCGAGGTAGGAGGTTGCTTGGACCACATCAATCACACACTCCGTCCGTAACTCGGTTGACGAGGAGGCTCCAAGGTGGCAACCCATGCAGGACATCACTAAAACATCTTTTTCTCCAACAATGCCATCTTACCAACAGCTTGTCATGTTTGAGAAAAGGGATCAAGAGAGCCAAGCAATCTGCACAGCAAGAAGCCAAATGAAAGGATCATGGTCAATCACCCCGGTTCCTCATAGGCTGATCCATATTGGAAGTTGTTCGCCATGCTTGTTAGCTTATAATATATGGGAGCGTTACCCAAGCCAGGGGACTTGCTAACAACAATGACTAATCAGCTATTAACTCAGATGTCCTTCCAGATAGAGTACGTTTTGGAACCTCTTTCCAGACCATCAAAGCTAGTAAAGCTGACTTAGTCGCAACTGATGGACAAAATCGATGACACAATGCCCTTCAACTAGCTCAAAAGGGTTGGTCAAAAAGTTAAACCCCCATGCTCATGTGTGACATTTCCACAGTAACTCAACTTGTTTTAGCCTGTAGATTTCGAGCAAGGGATGCCACTGTCGGCTCTCCCACGAAGCCTGTGCGCCTCGCCACACAATCCGCCAAGAAGCCCACGGCATTTCAGAAGGCGAACCGCCATAGAAAAGATCACTAAGCTCTCGCTTGGGTTGTTCTAAACCTTGGAACTTTGGAAGAGATCATAATTGGAATGGGAGATATCATAATTACAATTGGGGAAACTAGTTATACTTACATATAAAAATTATCACGTGGGGCTGCGTGCTACATGTTTCTAGCAAAGCAGCTGGGAAACTGCTGTCATCTCACTAGTGGTCCCAGCTGGCACTCAAAGGTGGAGGTTGCCGTCCTCCATGTCTTGGCAGTGTTCAGCAGGGAAACTTTGCAGAGCTGGAGAGCCAGCAGCAGCAGCAGTAGCAGTAGCAGCAGTAGCAGTAGCAGTAGCGGGAGTAGTAGGAGTAGGGGAGTAGGGGGGTAGGGGAGTAGGGGACTAGTAGCAGTGGAGAAGAAGGAGAAGAAGGAGAAGAAGGAGAAGAAGGAGAAGGAGAAGAAGGAGGACCTCAGCTAGCACTAGTTGCAGCTCCAACTTGAAAATTAAACGCCTTGGGGGTTGCACATGCACCAGAAACAATTTCCCGGCCAAGCTGAGAACCTCAACCTTCAAAGCAAGAACCATAGCTGACTATAATCCTTGTTATTACCGATTACCAACAATAATAGGAATGAATATATGAGAATATAGGTATACTATCCAAAGCCACCAAGCAAAAGCGACAGTTTGGCTTCATCTCTGCCGAATCTAAGAAGACTGGTAAGGACAAGTGAATCGCAGAAAAATCTGTCTGTGAGAAAAATCATGCCACCTGAGAAATTTCCACCACTCCCACAAGGATGAATTCCAGTAGCCGTTTGGCAAACCAAAAACAGAGACGCCACGGTCCAAGCTACGCTGAGCTCGGTCGATGATACCGTGGATTCCAGGTATCTCCTCCCATTCATTCACGGGGTCAAGATCTACCCTCCTGGCAGCAGGTCAGCAAGTGGAAGCCTCTTAAAATGGGAAACTTATATAATGGCCAGCCAGTTAAACTATTCTTGATAGACTATATATGTATATAACTTATATGACTGGAAAATTATTGGTTGAAGATTAAAAATGACTCCGACCGAACAAGTGATGAGCCATGATTGTCTCAAATCCAAAAGGTGGTGCCTATATATTACGTATTTGTTGTTTGACATATGTATACATATATACACCTATGTGTGAGGGTGTGTGTAAAAGAGTGTATGTTTCCATGGTCATGTTCATCTATTTTTTCAGAATATACGTGTAAACAATCCTTACGCCTGTGCCTCTACGTACATGAGTGCATCTATGTACATGTACTCGGATATGAACACATATGTCAACCTCTACCTGAAACAGGTCTTGCCTGTTCACCGGTTCATCAAAGCTCTACCTATCTATACTCACCCTTTGACCTCAAATTGTATAGCCACTCCCCGTCTGAAAACTGAAAGAAGACATCTTCCAAGCTCCACCTCCACTTCTTCCACTCGAGCAGTCCTGACCATGTCCTCCGCGTTGTTCACGTACAAGGTCATGAGTGTCAGGAGGGTCACACTTCCAAGGCCAAGAAAAAAAGTTCGCCATTTGCGCACGTGCCAGGACCCCTGCACCAACGACCCGGATTTTGCTGCCCCATTCCATCTTCTGGTTGACCATCATTTGTAAACCTGTGTCATAAACCGAGGTATCTTCCATCTTTAAACAAACCCATCGTAGAATTGTGTACATATGCAAGAGATCCCATCCTTGACGATAAAATGCCACCATTTCAATCCCAAAATGCCACCAGTTGCAGGAAAATTCATCGCCTCTACGGATCAGAGATTTGTTGGCACCGGGCCGTACCCCGTTCCATCCAATGATTAATCATCAATTTCGGTAAAAAATGAACACAATCAAGTTACATCAAGTTACATCAAGTTACATCAAGTTACATCAAGTTACCAAAAAGAACCACAAACCCCCCAAAACAAACAAAAGAACCTCAGGAACTTCGGTCACAACATCGTCCGCTCCATCACTTTGCGGAAGCTGCAGGAGCATGGCATCACACAATTCCTAACCACACGCCGATTTCTCTTGCACGCAGACATTGAAGTGTTGTGGGTGTCGGTGTTTTTGAATGCATGTTTGTTTGTTTTGGCCCTTGTTTGATCAAAAGATGCGTCCAATTTGATCAGGATGATATCTTGATACATGGGACCTATTCTGTACCCAGAGCCAAAAAAACACAGTTCCGTCATTCCAAACCCAAAGTTGGACCATTCTTTACGGCTCCGCGGCTGCGACCAAAATGGCACCCCTGCTCTGCTTCCGCGCGTTTTTCCAAATTCTCCACGCCAAAGTTATCTCTGATGAAAAAAATGCGCAGGACACAAACACCATTTTGTTTCAAGGTTTGTACAAAACTTTACTACCGCAGTCAATATTCGTTTTCGGAACTCTCGGGGATGAACTGTCCAATTTCTACAACACATCTGCAGAAACAACAACACACTGTGAGTGTGATGAATCGGCAAATCAAAAATTTGCAACTGATTCAACCCTTGTGAAATGGACACGTATGTTATACATGGGTGTCCGGTGTCCATATTTGCACGCACCTTGATCGTGAAATACTGTAGATTGGAAATCGATTTGGGGTGGCCAATTCCTTTGGAATCAAAAAATCGACCTCGATGTCTTTCATTTGATCTCATGCGCACAAACTAAATGTAGCGTGTTCGCAAAGGATGATGTTTTCCTGTTTCAAACCGAAATGGAACCTTGTTTGAAATCTTGGAATAGTGAGGAATGAAAAGTGGATCAAGCACAACTGATTTTGTGAAATTTGGCCACATTGTTATCAAACATACTTTGCACACGGAGCGAGACACGCGTGGCTACAATGCGGGTGGCAAGTATAATGAATAGCATCCCATTCGGACCAATTTTATGTAGGGTTAACCGGTTAACCCAGCTTTGCGACCCAACGGCAATGAAAATTCCAGATTCAGCATGCTAAAGTTCCCAGGTAGCGTCCATGTTTGGGCCACATTTGGCAACATGGCAACAAGATTACAGACAAAATGAGCGACACAGTGGGAAACAAAGCGGGAAACAAAATTTGAGACAAAGTTGAGGACAAAGTGGGAAACAAGCTGGGCGACAAATTGGGGGACAAAGCGGGGGACAAAGTCGGAAACACACTGGGAAACACAGTGGGAAGCAAAAACACTGGGAGAGACGCACTGGGAGACGCACTGGGAGAGGCATTGAGAGACACACTGGGAGACAAAAGAGGAAACACAGTGGGAGACAGAGTTGGAAACAAGTAGGTGGCAAAGTGGGGGACAAAGTGCGAGACAAAGTGGGAGAAGCTCGGAAACAAAGCGGGGGAGAAAATGGGAGACTCTCAAAAACAAACGCGCAACTCAAGCGATATATATATATATATGTATATGTATATGTTTTACAGAAAGGGACAGGCCCAACACAGAAAAACCAGCAATTGCCACTACAGCATTGAGGGAGAATTCAACCCCACAATGCCAAATTCAAAAACATGCAATAGAAACAAATTAAACACATGGAGCAAACGAATTAATGAAAATGTCGCAAAAGTACAATAATTGTGAGACAAATACAGGCTGAGCGGGAAAATAACCGGCCGCTCAGTATCCTCTCAAAGCTCTTTGCTATGTCATCCAATGAACACTTCCAGAAGCTTCCAAGTATTGTTCTGCTGCTTGCCGTGTCAATCAAACATGCAGAATCCAATGGGCAGGGACCAAAGGACACGGACCCCTCTCAGGAGGGTCATACCAGCGAAGAAAGCACAAGCAAAAGGAAGGTGGGAAAAGCCAAAGGAGAAGAAAGGAGAAGACCGGGACGGACAGAACAAGACATAGCAACCCCCAAGAACGCCTTAGTCAGGTCCAGTGACAGCGAGGCTCCAAAGTGTAAAACGAACCACCCTGACCAATCCAGAGACAGGCGTTCCAGCTCAAGAGTCCAACTCTGAAGAAGGGTCTATTTTTTGGCCCTGAAAACATAAGAACAACTACTTATACGCAAATACGGGCCTCCCCGTTCAAGATTCCTGCCGCGCCACTCAAACAGTCTCTTGCGGGGTATTGTTGAATCTAGTTACACATCAGTCACACAAAGCAACCACGAGTAGGCAACAAAAGCCTCGCACCGCGTCCCCAAAAGTATGCCCACAGCAAGGTGCTGCTCCCATAATGACAAACGATCAAGGATGCAAAGGTGCAACTTTTTCACGGTAGAAAACAGAACCTATACAGTTTCTTACTAATATTTGCCAAGTTGTATCTTTGCATTCTTGTTTTTCTCCATCTATTTCTTTGGTCGCAAAATGAGACATTCACCACGCTATTGTTCCATGTACAATGGTTTGTCTGCGACCTCATCCACAAAATTTCTCAAATTGGGCAGGTCCCGCACCCCAAACAATGATTCAGCAAAGATCATTCTTTGAAATCTGCACACACGAAACACGAAACCAGCTACTTTACAAAAGTGTCTTACTTCCAGAATCTTTGTTTCGGAGGCAAGAAGAGATGTCGAATCTTTCACGTGCACTTTTGCCAACTCAAGAGTCCAATCTATCACAAAAGAAGAATCTGTGTTCTTGCTTCAAAAAAAGATAAACTAAACACGCAAATCCGGACCTCTCCGGTAGTTGCCAGCGCTGCATTCTTTCTCAAACATTGAGATCTGTGCTGACACTTCCGGCAACATGAGCAAGCATCATCCCGCTGGGCAAGAATTTAAGAAAAGCACGCTGCGTCCGTGCTGCAGGGATGATGGTTGCTGCATCTCTTTTTCGCTGTCTGTAAGACGTCTCTTTTTTTTTGGGTCGACGTCACACAGACCTTCAAGAAAGCACCGGATTAGAATGCTGATGGTCCAGTTTTCGACTCTTGTGGAAACATTAGAAGCAACCTAAAAGTGGATCCTCTCAGGATTGAAAGTGGTCCTTCCTGGCGGACCTGTTTTGGTCCCTTCATTTTGCGAAGCACAATGTTGTTTCGAATTGTCAGAGTGTTGTTGTTGTAGACTTTTGCAGTGTGGCGTAGGTGAGATACTGACTCCGCTACGACATTAGAGATGCAAAATTTCACTTCTACCACGTTTTGTGCCAGGTTTGATGTTCTCAGTGGAGTCGGTACACCTGCTGAAACCTCATTTTCAACAGAAAAGAGTTGAAAGAAGTCCATCTTGTGACTCGAGACAACTCTGCAAGATGTGCCAGATGACGTCATTAATTGTTCGATATATTAGATGCCCGTTTTTGGGATTGGAAAGATATATAGAATTTACACTCCAAAAGACGATCTTCCCGAGTAGTTTGGCTGCGTTGCCGCTGAGATCTTTGGACCAGATACCAGAACACTCCTGCTCAGGTCGTCACCTTTCATCAGTCAGAATGACATGTGCCAGGTTGTGACATTTAGCGGTAGTCGTCCTCGTGGCTTAGTTCGTATCGCTCCATCCTCAATGTCGCTGACAGACTACCGGTGGTGGTTCGATTCCCCGCTGGTCCGCGAGTAAGATTCAAGTTCACAGGACCGTGCCTCAGAGCATAAACGGCCGTCCGAACCCAAAAAAAGGTTGTCACATTTAGCGGACGAATTTCGAGTGGCTCCTATGTTGCTGAGGTTCATTTTGCGTGGCAGGTGCAAGCACTTGGAGCCTGTTGCGTTTGTTTTCGCGCGGCTAGACCTGCAATCGCAACGTGTAATGTGCTTCGCGCGTTGAAAAAAAACAAAAAAAATCGTTGCACGAGAAGGACGTTATGATTGAGGGCGCGCGTGTGGTGCGGTGACCATTTCAGATCGTAGCATAGTGTCCTGTTGTGGTGCGTTGCAAATTTTGGGCGTAAAAGTGATCATTTCGGATCGTAACCTGGTTTCCTGCTGTGGCGAGGTGCAAATGTTGTGGTGCAAAGTGGGCTGGCGTTGTAATGCATTTTGGATCATAGGTCGTTTCCAGTTGTGGCGCCGTGCTAACTTTGTGTTGCGAATGTACAATGGTTAGCTGGCGTGCTGTTATATGATTCTAAGGGATGAATGCGAAAATCCAACAGGACCTAATTACAACCACTAGTACAGCTCCTAACGTCGCAAGGGTCGGCTTAACTCCGCGTCGAGCGTTTAACAAGTTAAAACCCAAAAACACGACGGCTGTCACTGCAAAACTCAATTCCCTTTTCCACACAGGAAAACAAAGCAAGGTAAATTGTCTGCCGTGCACATGCAGCATGCTATAGTTGAACTTCTTCTGTTTCAGCTGCTTTGCCTTTGCAACATGCAACGGCGGCGGTCGAAAAACATTCTCATCATGTTGGTGAATTCAGTAGAGCTGAATTCACCATCTGTGAAAAATTCATCTCCATTTCCAAGTTCTCTTCAAACGCACCATTTGCACAAATTCCAAAAACATCCAAACTGTTGACAAAAATAGTTGGCAGCTTCCGAAAATAAAACGCATCATGCAGAAAACAAATCCAGTCAAGGTTGTGGTTGAAAACGCATGCACATGTGTTTGAAAAACAACGTTGAGCTTGTCCAAAAAGTCGTCCATACCAAAATCATCTCCAAATTCATTTGCACTCCAGAAAACCTCGTTGCAAATGAATTTCAGTTCCAAAAACATTCTCCTTCTCCATCAAGTTGACGAAAAACATTCACATGCACATAAAACGCATCTTCACGGTATTGTAACCAATTCCAGTTGTTCTCAAACCATTCTGCATCAATTTCAGAGTTCTGCCCAAATAAACCATTGACAACATCCTGTTGTAGCCACCATGCAAGTTACATCCAGAAACGTAGCACATGCAACCAATATGCACGGGAGTGTATATTTCCATACCCCCTTTTGCTGCGTTTCCCATCCATAGACAGCCGAAATCCAGTGAAGTATCAAAAAGGCTTGCATGCCACGTATATGTATAAAAAGCTGTCATCTGTCCAACTTCCAGTGAGGACTTGCACACGAAGTCGCATCTTCACACCAGTTGCAGATGTATTGCAAAAATACCTGTGTACTCGAATTAA